CTGGGGAGGGTGGATACTGAGTCCAATGAATGAAAGCTGGTCTCCTCCCGCAGCGCCCCCCAGACACGCCCGGAAACCCTGTTGTACTGGCTCCTGGGTGTCGCGGGACCCGGTCGGTTGACACTTAGGAGAGCATCACAGTTACATGGTGCATTTCTGCTCAACTCTGGCTTGTCTGCCTCCAACCTGACAGGTGGGCCCAGGAGGGGGTGCAGAGGCTGCATTCCTAGAGAGCAGATTCCTGAATATTCTGCCCCCCACCCCCGGCCCCGCAGGACAGCTGGCCAGGTCCACAGCTGCTCCTGTGAGTCCAGGCCGTGAGGGCCCAGTAAGGAGAGACTGGATTTGAGGGAAATTAAAAATAAGAAAAACCTTTTCTATCTCAGGGGTGCAGGGGGTCTTGGGGAGAGACCTATGAGCACACGTCAGGACTAGTGTTTTCTTTTTCTTTTTTTAAAACATGTTTTTATTTATCTTAGAAAAAAGGAGAGAGAGAGAAAGAAATCGGTGAGACCGGCCAACTCTTGCACGCCCCCTACTGGAGAGGGAGCAGGTGCTCTGGGCAGGTGCTCTGACCAGGAATCCACCCAGCGCCCTCTTGGGTCAGGGGACCACACCCACCCACTGAGCCTCACCGGCCGGCGGGACTAGTCTTCTCTTCTTGAATCTTTGACCTGCCGACCTGCCAGGTGCAGGGGTCAGGACAGGGCCAGGGGTTGCACAGACATTTCTTCCTGGAAGGTCCATCCTCTTGCTTCATGGCTCCACAGCGCCCCCTGGAGGACACGCCACGCTTCGCACTCCTGGTGGCTCAGAATGGCAGGACCCTCCCAGGGCCCCTGAGGTGTGTCCAGGGACTGAACACCAGGGAGCCACAGGAGGCCCGTGTGGCGGGAGGAGAGATTCCACCGGGACCAGAGGAGGCAGGAATGGATGCTCAGACCCGTCCACTGACCCCCGGGGACGAAGTGGATGTTGAGATGGCCAGAGGGTCCCTACGTCCTTGAGGGAGCAGAGACAAGAGGGACCACATGACACCCGTCGAAGGCTTCTTGCACACTCTGCGTCCACAGCACCCCTCCCGTCTGCAGCGTGTCTGTGAGCACAGCCCTCTCTCAGACATTTGCTTTGTCCTGCTCCCTCTCACCCACGTTCCCACCTGGGGTGACACGGTAGAAACACGTGTGACTACTTGATGGGCAGTGAGGGACACTCTGTTCGTCTTTGCACAGGGGGGAGTCTCAGCACAGGGTGTGTACTTTGGGAATCGAGGGCCGTTGTTCTTGCCTAAAAGAGACATGCTTTCTGAGAAGAGTGGCCCTGACCGCACACTTCAACTTCTCTGCATTTTCCACTGCGGAGGGCGCTGCCCACTGTGGCCACACCACCCGAATCCGCACGACCACTTCCTGCGTTCTTTCCCAGGGCAGAGCCCATTGTCCGGACCTTCTGATTCTTAGAGGCTCTGGGCCAGCTGGGCTCGGAGACCTGGAGATCCGAGCAGATGGGGGTGGAGACCAAGGCTCCTAGCACACATGGGCCTTGGTCCCTGAAGGGACGGCAGACACTGAGAGCCTGCTTCTCTTCTCCTTGAACAACAAGGGCCACGGGGTGGGCTCTCCCTGGGCTTAAGCCTGAGGTCAGGAGACAGCCGAAGGTCTGTGCCCTTGGAGAGCCTGAGTGGCACCCAGGGCAGGAAGACAGGACAGCTGGCATTGCAGACATCTCCTCTGTCCCTATCAGGCCTCCCCTGGCTGAGCCAGGACCTTCCCGAGGAGCCCAGCTCTGCCAGGGAGCCTGCCTGGTGCTGCAGCCTCTGCAGCCTCTCCCTTCTCAGGCTGTGGCCCTGAGAAGCCCCACGTCTTCCCTCCCTGGTCCTGATTCTCCTGTCTTCTCCTCATGGGGCCGGCCCCTCCCTCGAGAGGTCATGATGATGTGACTCAGTGTTGTGTGGGATGGAGGCTATGAGACCACCTTCCCCTGTCACCGTGCTTGTGTTCGGTGCCATTAACGGACCCAGGGACGTCCTTCAACATCCAGATGGAAATGCAGCCAACAGCCCACACCCATCTACTTCTTCACAGACACAGCCTTCCAAGAGGGCCCACCCAACAATGTGGTGACAACACGACCATTTCTTAAGTGCATTTGCTTCTGCAGACGTAGGGGCTTTCAGTTTAGGAAAACCCAGAGCCAGCTAGGAGGCAGGGGGAGTGTGCAGAGCGAGCGCAGGGTCACAGGACACAGAGGGGCACAGGGACAAGGGCATCATGTCTGAACCCTGCCACCTGCCCGGGAGAGCGTGAGGGGGCAGACGGAGTGTCCTTCCAGGGGGCCGCTCAGCTCCGTCTCTGCACCCCCAGTAAGAGGTGCCAGAGAGGTTTATGGTTTCCCTTTTCAATGTGAGAAACAGAAGCATTTGCATAAGGAAATGTGTGGTTTGCGGACATTCAGCCCGTGAAGGCAAGAAGCCAAGTCGGTAAGTTTCCCTCTGTATTTGGTCCCTCTATATGGTTACCTCTGTATCTATGTATCTAAGTATCTATGTAACTGTCAATGTATGTAGCTCTATGTGTAACTATCAGTCTATATATTTATCTACGTATCTATGTACTTATATAAGTATCTATGTATCTATGTATCTATCTGAGTATCTATGTGTCTCTCTAAGTATCTAGGTACCTGTCATCTACTTCTATCCCTAATACATTCATATTAGGTGAGTTTCATTTGGACATGGGTTCAGCCTGGTTATGAAATATCTCACTAGAAACACCTTCTGGAATCCAAGTCCTCCCTGAACCCCAATAGGGGAAGCTAGAGTCGGGCCCGGGAAGAGCCATCTCTGCACCCCCAGTAAGAGGTGTCAGAGAGGTTGATGGATTCCCTTTTCAATGTGAGAAACAGAAGCTCACTTCCTGTGGGGCCACAGAAATGAGCCTGTGACGTGGCCCCTGCACACGCCCCAATCTGCAGGCCCTGTGCTCCCTCACCCAGGACCAGGACAGAGAAGGCGGTGAGAGGCTGGCCATGGCCCCCCATCCCACCACCCTCCTGAACCTTGGTGAGCAGAAATGCAGGGGGGCAGGGGGAACCACAGGACAGAGGGGACTCTGGGTGGGATCCAGGCCCCACCTCAGTCCAGCCTCTGGTCCAGGAAGTGCTGAGCCCTGGGGCAGAGTCAGCCCGGAGGCCCTCCTTCCTCTGGGTCACTGAGCCTAAGCCTCCAGTGGGGGGAACAGGGCCTCTAACCTGTTCCAGACACTGGGATGGGGCAGGTCAGACCCAGAAGAGGCCAGAGGGGGATCCGACTGGGAGGTCGACGGAGAACATGTCTGGACCCCAATGTAGGGGTGGAGGGAAGCGACCCACTGGGAGTCGTGTTGATGAGGGTGCTTTGCAGGGTCTGGGGGAGACGAAGTCTTTCCCTGCAGCACACTGACCCCCCCCTCTCCACTTTAAGGAATCAGGGCGATGGGCGTTTTTCTCACCGGGGCTTCTCTCGCGGGGCTCTGCCTGGGCCAGCTGGTGTGTACGCAGGAGGGTGAGTCATCCCTGCAAGATTTCGAGTCCCGCCCGCCCCAAGGGAGTCCTGTGGATTTGGGGAGGGATCAAACCCCACTCTACAGCAGATGAAGGTCCCTGCTAAGACTTCCGACAGCTGCCAACCCCACAGGACACCACCACTGATGTGCAGGCTCCTGAGATCCAATACGTCTAAACTGGACCCTTGGTTCTCGCCCACTCACATCTGGCTCCTCCTCACCCCTCCTGAGTTCTCAGTGCAGGTCATCACCCAGGACCCGATAACGCAGTCATCCCTGATCCCCCTTAGGGCACCCCCTGTACCTCCACCCCAGAGCCCTGCTGACTCCACCACGCATGTCCTCAGGGGTGCCCACGTCCCTGTGGGTGCCACCCCGCATCTGAGCTCCATCAGCCCTCACCCCACAGCAGCTATGGGGTCTCCAGGGGCCTCTCCCTGCCGGCTCCACCCCATTCCTCCCTGCAGGCGAACTTAGAGAAAACTCATCTGATGACTTTCCTTCCCAGCTGAAACCCTTCACTGGTTGAATTGACGTTGAATCAGACCCTTATCAACGTGTTTCCTCTGGCCGCATCTACCTCTAGCCACGTCCTTCCTGCTCTGTGGGGTTCCCTTATCACCAGACACATTCGTTTTCCGTCAGCTGCTCAGACACGCTGTGCTCACCCTGCACGCAGGACGGTCTCACACGCTGACTTCTCCACCACCAACACCTCGGCCTCCCCATCTGCTCAGCGGAGCCACGTCTTATGCATTTATCACATCTCAGCTGACTTCGGTTTCCCAGATGAGGAAGGTCTCCTTGTTACATGCTCTCTTTATATCTGTGGGTGCCCATCACAGGTCTGTCTGGCATCGAGTTCTTTCTCATCACCCCATTTCATCCCCCAACAACACTGCGTGTAATAGAGGACATCTCGGCAGCTTATTTCTGTCTCGCAGAGATGCCGCCTCTGGACTTTGGCCAGAGACAGCGCGGCAGCCCCAGCGTGACACCAGAGATGCAGGCTCTCTACTTCTGCCCTACAACTTCAGTTCGTGGCCACCAGCGCAAAGTCCCCTCTTGATGCAAAGTGGCTGCCAGGGCTCCAGCCATTGCATATGTTTGCAAGCTGAGTGGCAATGAAAGGCAGGAAGAGGCAGGGCGACTCCAGGCTTCACTGCCACCCTTTGAGCTGCCTTCCTGGGAACCTCACCAGCCAGGTTCCTTCCGTTGCATTGTCACCAACATGGTCACAGGACTGAGAAAGCTGGTCCTGGGGGTGCCTGGTGTTGTCTTTTGTTCCATGAGACCCTGTGCCTGGCTCAATGTGATGCTCTGATTCCAATGAGGATGTAGAGTGCAGATGTGGTGGAGGCCAGGGCAGTGTCTTGGTGTCCTTCTGTCCATCACAAAGAGGGAACACGTATTTATTCATAATGGACCCTGAGTTCCCACTCTGCTTCCTTCCAGGGGTCCTGCCCAAACCCTCCATCTGGGCTGAGCCGGGCCCTGTGATCCCGCGGGGACAGCCAGTGACCATCGTGTGCCGGAGCCCAGCTGGGGCTGAGTTGTTCCGCCTGATAAAGAACGATGGAAGCCTTCCTTACAAGGATCAACTTGTTTCACAGAAAACACAGGCCAGATTCCACATTCCTGCACTGAGTGATCACACTGCCGGGTCTTATTTCTGCCGCTATTACAATAAGTCCCGCTGGTCTGAGGACAGTGAGCCCCTGGAGCTGCAGGTGACAGATGAGGACGTCTCCACTCGGCCCTCAGGTTTGTCCCAGGTCCCTGCACCCAGTTCCCAGCTGCGTCTCTGTCCTCAGGCTCCCTGCCCCCCTGCAGACCCTCAGCCCTGTGGCCCCTGCCCCTCTGCACACATGACCCTCGACCTTCACACCTGGCTCAGGGCCCTGGAGCCCTGGTCCCATCTGGACAGCTGGACCCCACGGCGGCCTGGACACTGAGCCCCAGCATCACAGTGGGCACAGAGCTGGCCCTGCTGGGCTGGGTGGGGAGTGGCCTTCCAGAGACCAGCTGGGGACAGACCCCCTTCAGGGGGACATGTGTCCTTTCCCTCAGGATGGTGTTAAACCTTCCTTTCCACTGGGCCAGACCCTGTGGCCCAGGCGATGTGTGCCCTGGGGTCCACCCTCCACTGGGCAAGTCACGTGGTCCACGGGCCTGACCAGGGTTGGATGGTGCTTTGGGGTATTTTTTGGCTGAGGCTGCCCCTGTCCGGGTGTGGTCAGACCCTGAGACACCACGGAGTCGGGGTCCAGCAAGGACGGCGAGAGTGAGGGCAGGAGGGGAAATTCTTCCGTTAAAGCTGAGATGTCTGTCTCCTCTCTTTGTCCTGCTGTGACTCAGACATCACATGGGTCAGTGATTATGTCCAGGGAGGCCCCCATCATCCAGGCCTGGGGGTGCCCACCCAGTTGATCCTGGCCCATGACCCCTCACTGCCCTGGGGGACTGTGGGTGCACAGTGGTCCTGATAGGAAGGGTCAGCCTCCAGGACCCTCTGACCCTGGGGCCAGGTGAGTTGGCTCCCACCCTCCCTGTTTTCCAAGGACCAGGGCCCAGTGCTTTGTGCTAATGTATCGAGGGTGGCGGGACATTCTGAGGTGTGTCCAGCCCCTCAGACAAGTAGAAACAGAGAGAGTGCCAACCTGGTGCCCTCAAGTCTCCCTGTTCCCTTTCTGGGGTGACGCGTGGGGGCCATCTGTACTGAGAGGTGCAGAGTAAGAGGCCAGGTGCCAACGCTGTGGGAGGGGAAGGGTCAGGCTGAGTGGGCGGGTCGGAGAGGAACTTGGGCTCCGCCTTCCCCTGCCCCCTCCATAGGAGCCCCTGGGACATCAGCTCCCTCACTAGAGCCCCCTTCTGGGCTGGGGAGTGGAGACCTCAGCCTGGGTCTCCCCCTTCTAAGGGCTCTGCTGGGGGCTTTCCTGTCTCATAGGTCCTGGGCTTGTCCGGTCTGGTCCACCTGTCAGTGACCCCTGTCCTCTGCTTCCAGAGCCTGCCTCGGGAAACTACCTGGTAGGGAACGGTGTGCGCCTCGGCCTGGCTGGCACGGTCTTGCTGATCCTGGTGGCCATTCTGGCAGAAGCCTGGCACAGCCAGCTCAGGTCCTCACAGGGACCTCAGGGATGGAGACAAGAGGACACTCATCAGAGAGATGAGACCCCAGGGCCCTAAGGAGGACGTTGTCCAAGTCGCAGAGGCTCTCGCTGGCACCCCGGAGACCCGCGCGGCCGGGCTGTGCGCTCCTGTGGGGTCTGTCTCAGGTCTCCAGGGCTTGGCTCCAGGTCTGACTCTCACCATCATCACAGCCCCCCCCCCCCACCCGTCCTTCCTGGGTCTCCCTTCTCTCCAGGTTCTCAGACAGGCCCAGGCCCCTGCAGCCCCTGCCCTCTTCCCCCTCCCCCACCCCCTTTCAGAGGCTGCGGGTGCTCACCTCAGGCCGTCCCTCCGTGTTCAGCCTCTCCCTCGGTGGGCTCAGCGTCTGGGCTTCTCTCCCAGGTCTGACCCCCCTCCTGACACCCACGCTGGGATTTCCTACCCGCTCACCCCCTTCCTTTTCCTGGAGCCCCACCTTCCCAGCTGCTTTCTGGGACCAGGATCGTGATGCTCAAGGCCCTTGGTCACCCACACCTGTCACCTGTGAGACTGCTCCCGCTCTGGCCCCCAAGTACCCCGCTTCTCCTGTTCCTGGGTGGCCTCTGCCTCCTGGGCCTGTCTCCTCAGGTCCCAGCTGACTGGACTCAACAGTCCAACCCCAGAGCACAGCGAGGTGTCACCACGCACTCATCAGGGTCACTGTTGTTAAAATTAAAAAAAAAAAATATGTCACTAGACTTACTGGGGGATCCCTCTGTAAGTATACACATGTCTAATCACTAGGCCGTACACTTGGAATACTATATTGTACGCCAACGGCAGATGGAAAATAAATGTTAAAACCGTCTTCTGCAATCGGAAAGTCACAGGTGCTGCGCAGAGGTGGGGGCCCGGGTGGTTCGTGCACTGCTGGGGGCCGCACGCTGCAGCCCCGGGGGAATTCCTGCGGCTGTTCCTCAAACCTGACCGCGGGACCCCCTGCGGCCCAGCAACCCCACTTCGCGATGGCGCGCAGTGAGCGGCGGGGCTTCCAAACCTCCACACCCGCGTCCCCACAGCAGCCTGGCTCACAAGAGCCACGTCACCCCACGGCTGCTCAGACGGGGAAGGAGGAAGGCAACGTGTCCGAGCGACGCCTGGAGAAGGGGTCCCGGCAGGGCTGGCTTTGGAGAGAGAAAGGGGCTGCGCGTCCTGGAACGCGGGGTGCGGAGACGCGGGGAAGACAGGACCGGATTCCGCCCCGGTGCCCCCAGGAGGCACGCAGCGCTGCGGACGCCTGGATTCAGCCCGGCGAGGCCTGTTGCGGACTTCTGTCCCTGACGCTGGGGAGTCGGTCCGTGTGGCCCCAGCCGTCCTGCTGGTGCGCACTTGTCGCCGCAGAACCGGGAAGCTCCTGCGCCTGGACACAGCGGTCTCAGGACGCCTCCCAAGCGTCTGGAAACCGGGCGGAGCGTTCCTTACCGGCCTCTGCCCTCAGCCCCCCGCAATTCCATCCAAACCTCGGCCGGCGGAGCAGGAAGCCCAGCCCGGTCACCGCGGGCTCCAGGGTCCGAAGGACGCTGCTTCGCTCTGAGACGCAGCAGTGTGGCTGGGCGGTACCAGAGCCGAGTCCCCGTGGTGCCGGGATGCAGGGCCACTCACCACGTCTCCTGCGGGGCAGGGCTGGGCACGGTGACTCCCGTCCCCTCCTCTGTCCCCTGCACAGAGAGGAGAAGGCTCCCTTTGCTCTTCCGGAGAGGTCTCTTCACAACCGTGCTGCCCGCTCTCTGCTCCCAGCTCCGGGTCAGGCTCAGGGGGGCGCGGGCTCTTCCAGCGCCCAGGGCTGCCTGCAGGGTCCCCGAGTCCTGCTGGGAGCAGCGAGCGTCGTCCTTGTGGGTTTTGGTGCTCAGCTTCCCAAACTTGGCCATGGAAGGTCCTTTCAGCTTCTCGTTGTGCTTTCTAAGACCGTCCCTCTGGTTGTCTGTACCCCCAAAACTTTCTAGATGACAAGGGAGCCCCAGCTTATCCGTGTTCCTCCTGCCCTGGACCAGGAGGCCCCCTGTCTCCAAGTTCTCAGGTTCCTTCTACTGGGAGCAATACTTAAAAAGCAGGATCTGGGGTTATGTGAACCCAGGGCTACCGAGGTTTTGTCTGTATCAACCACTTAGTATCAGGGAGGGTGCTCAGTGTGAACCCACACATGTATTTCCCACCTGGTGTAACATCACAGGGTTCATTTACATTGTACTTGTGTTCGATATTAAAAAAAAAAAAACAATTCCTAACAAATTCATAAAGTTCCTTTTATCGGTATTACCACGTGGCAGTGGTTACTGGACGTAAGCTTATCTTTATTTGTATTTGTTTATATTCATGCCAGATTGTGCTTTCCCATCTTTTACGACCTAATTGTGTCTTGGGATATGTCGAGTACCTCTAGGTTTCAGAATTTTGTGCACTGCTGGTGGGGCCGCAAAGTAGTGCCCTCCGAGATGACCCCTTCATTCTATTCCCTTCACCCTGTACCCCCACATACTGGAAGTGACCATTTTTTGTTAGCTTCTGGTGTTCAGAATGAAAAGTATGTGAAAAATAAGTAAATACCCAGTTATCTTATTTTATCTACTTTCTTAAAAACAATTAGAGCCCAGTCAGTGTGGCTCAATGGTTGAGTGGCGACCCCTGCACCAAGAGGTTGCCGGTTGGATTCCTGGTCAGGGTACATGCCCAGGTGTGGGCCCGTTCCCAGTGGGGGGCATGCAGGAGGCGGCCACTCAGTGTTCTCTCTCATCAATGTCTCTCTCTCTCTCTCTCTCTTCCTCTCTCTCTCAAGTCAATAAAAAAATATATATTATTTAAAAAGCAACAATTACAGCTGCATAGTACTCCATTGTGTATAGGACCTGGAAAGTATTATCCGAAGCGAAAAAAGCCAAACAGAGAAAGACAAATATCATATGATCTCACTTATTTGTGGAATATAATGAACATAACAGTCTGAGGAATGGGGTAGTCCCAGAAACGTGGAAGTGGGGTACAGACTAATAATCCCCAGAAGAGGGGGTGGTGGAGGAGAGATAAACCACAGAACTTATATGCATGTGTGCATGAACAATGGACATGGACAACAAAGCTGGGGACAGGGTGGGGAGGGAGTGGGTGAGGGGGGAATCTGTGGGGGGAAAAGGAGAAACATCTGTCACAAAAATTAATTAATTAATTAAAAAATAAATACATAAATAAATAAAAAGCAACAATTAGCAAGGGATACATATTGTCCTGCATTTTGCTGTTTCACTAGTTTCCTGTGACTCCTGTAACAACTTCACACAAACCTCACGCTCAGAAGAGCCACATCCATGGACCTACAGGTCTATGACCTGGACGTGTGACCTGGTTACTCTGGGATGAAATGACGGCATCTGCAGGGCTGCGTTCTCCAGACCCTCAGCCTCCTGCCTCCCTCGTCCACCTTTCAGGATCCTGTAATGACATTATGGATGCCTGGAGGATGCTCGCTAATCTCTCCCCTCAAGGTGCTTATTTATCACATCTGCCCAGTCACTTTGCCAGGTAAGTAAATCATTTACGGGCTCTGGAGCTTAGGATGTGGGGCCTCTGTGGGGCTGTCATCCAGCCCTCCACACACTATGTTCTGGAAGTCACTGCACAGTAGTTCATTACATTCTCTTGGTTACATTTATGCTTCCTTTGTTCCCATGATGCCCTTAAATAATTTCCTGTTTTTATATTTTCTAATGGAAACATATTAGACATATGCCATCCATAAATGTAAGGTGTACACCATGGTAAGCTGATACATTTAGGTACTATAATATGATTTCATTGTAGCAATAATGAGCACTTTATCATGTTACATAATTATCATTGCTTTTTAGAAGTCGGAACAAAATTCTTTTCTCTCAGCCATTTTGGTGATTAGAAAACCAATATCAATACGTTAGATCTCTAGGACTTGTCTACTAATTGTTATAAGTTTGTCTCCTTAAATGAACTCTGTCCTATCCCCAACACCTCAGCCCACGGTAACCACCATTCTAATCTGTTTTCACAAGTTCAACTTTTTTAGATTCCACATGTAAGTGACATCAGACAGTATTTGGCTTTCTGTGTCTGACCATCTCATTTAGCATAATGTGCTCAAGGTTGATCCATGATTTTGCAAATGGCAGAATTTCCTTCCTTCTCGTGAGGAAATAATGTTCCATTGTATACACACATGTAGATATATCTGTTTCTATATTTTCTCCACTCATTGATGGGCACTTAGTTTCATTCCCTAGCTTGGCGATAGTGAATATTGCTGCAATAAACATGGGAGCACATATATCTCTTGAGTATCCTGTTTCCATTTCCTTTGGATACATACCCAGAAGTAAAATTGCTGAATCCTATGGTTGATCTATATTTTCAATTTTTTGAGGAACCCCCATACTGTTTTGCATAGTGGCCATGCCAATTTACATTCCCACCAGCAGTGCAGTAGGGTTCCCTTACCTCCAACAGGTGTGAGGTGATATCTCATTGTGGTTTTGATTTGCATTTCCCTGAGGATTAGTGACGTGGAACATTTTTTAATTGTCTATTGGCCCTTTGGAAGTCTTCCTTGGAAAAATATTTAGTTCTTCTACCCATTTGTAATTATATCGTTACTTATTATTATTATTTTGTAATGGAGTTGTGAGATTTCTTTATAAATTTTGGATACTAACCCTGTATCCAATATACAGTTTGCAAATTTATTTTCCCATTCTGTAGGATTTCCCTGTAGCTGCAGCATCCCACACAGCAGGGGAAGCCCGGCATTCACTCGCTGCTCTGATCACCCTTTCTACTTGGATTTACCTAGGGAGAGGGATGCATTGAAAAAGTTTGTCCTACCTACTCAAATGCATCTTTATTTTTTAAATTTGCCATAAATGGTCAAGATGCAGATTTTATTTTTAAATACATGCAGCCTATCGCTTAGTTGTCTTTTCCTCACCTCTGTAAAATGTTCAATTATTTATCTCTTGAGGTGTTACCAAACGTCATTCTCACTTTCTTTCTTCTAACTTATAATAGATATGACATGTGTCCTCCTCATTCTAGTCCCCTGGTATCTTTTTGTAAATTAATGAATGAGGGAATGAATACGTGGAGCCAAGTTGAAGTACAAACTCAACTTTGCAGCTTTACCAGGTCTGGTTCCTTCTTTTCTTCTTTCTTTCTTTTTTTTTAATCCTCACCCAAGGATATTTTTTTCATTGATTTTTGGAGAGAGTGGAAAGAAGGGAGGGTGAGGGGAAAGAAACACTAATGTGAGAGAGACACATTAATTGGTTACCTCCTGCACATGCCCCAACCAGAGCCAGAGATGGAACCTGGAACCCAGGTACATGCCCTTGACGTGGAATCGAACCAGTGACCCTTCGGTACACAGGTTGATGCTCTAACCATTGAGCAACACCGACCAGGACTGACCCATCCCACAGGTCAAGCAACAAGGACTCTAGAGGGGGAGTGAGGATGAGGAGGGACAAGAGACACGAGAAATGGAGACAAGAGAGGGTTCTGATCAAGTCTCGTTTATTCAGGGCAAGTTCACACAATACATATGGGAAAAACAGGTGAAACAGTTAATGAGTATCCCACCTGAAGCAAATTCCAGTAAATACCCCAGGTGGAACAAATGATAAGCAAAGAATGGCTAGCAGAGTAAACAATTATCTAGAGGAATGCAGACACTGTATGCAGAGAGACCCCACTCTGGGGCCGGAGACAGCAGAGCAGACTGCAACAAAATGGATACCATGCAAAAAGTCCCCCACACAGGACTAGTGTCCAAGTATCTTGAATTTGCACTTCTGGTCTCCCTATGTTGCATTCTGGGAATTTCCTCAACATTGTACTCCACTTTCATAACTGTCTCTTCAGTTGTGTCTTTTCCTTGATGAGATGGATTTTTAAAATGTATTCATTGTATTTCATTGTTCATCTCTAACATTTCTAAACCAACTCAATAATTTCATATTCTTATGTAACATAATCCATACCCTCACCTGAAAAACTCAACACCCTCCTTTATTTTTTTTTAGATATTTAGGTATGTTTAATTTTAAGTTTCTCTCATATTTCCTATTCATTCCATTTCAGTGCTGTCCATAGCACTGTTGTCATTGTTAGGATTACCCTATGGTCCATTCTTATTGGAAATCTCTCCCCTCACACATCTGATCTTCCATAGGTTTCTGCCAGGGTTGTCCTGGGAGTCAGCTGATGGTGTGGGGGTTGGGATAACTGCAGCTTTTCCTGCTCTTTGATGTCCATTTTTTTAGACCTGGCATCTGCTCAGGGTTCTGTTAGACAGGGATGGGTAATGCTGACCTCATGCTCACATATGGGACACACACTCATGTCACACAAAAACTGCAATGAATTTGTTTCTCACATGCAAGGGGGAGGTGACTCAGTGTTGACAGTGGGGGTGGGTGTCAATGAGTAGAGCAGGTCTAGTGCGCATCCACAAACACAAGATTGGGGGCACCACAGCTTCCAACTTCACCTGAAGTCCTTACCCTCCTTTCTATAAAAACCTAGGTCCCTTTCTGTGTCCACGTGAGTGGAAACCTCCAATCAATGACCTCTTGATGGTCCCAGCCACTGGCTGCTACGCAGCTTTACTCTCTGTTCTTTCTTGTGGTTTCCTGTCTACTGGGGGAAATTTCATTTCTCTTTTCCTACAAATGACTATTTCTACATATTTTAGAAATGTTGTAAGTAGCATTTACTGGTATGCACAGCAGACAAGGGCTCTGGAGTGGATGTAAGAGACTTTTATCTTCACGGTGGAGTCTGACAACATGACCCTTTCATGTCTTTACCTGGCCCGAAAGTTAACAGTGATTGATTGGTTTCCTCTTATGAACCAAGAACCAGGATGTCTGCAGCCACACGACAACATGACCCAAACAAAGACACAGACAATGAAATATATAGGGTGTTACTGTCCAGGTCACAGAGGCACCGGATAAGAGATGAATATGTTCATAAAGGTCATCTTTTTCTTAAAAAGTAAACCTCTAACCCAAATAAAAGTCCCCTGGAGCTTACATGCAAGACCACAAAATGAGGAAGAGACTCAGCCAGAGGAACAAGGGCACTGGGAGCAATGAGTCAGGCTTCTTCTTCAAGAAGGCAGGGTGGCTGCTGTTGCCAAAAAAGATAAAGTCTGTGAAAAGCACAGTGATACAAAGAAAGTCCACACTCTGGACCCAGGAGAAAAGTCATGTTTCCTTCCGTTACTTTCTTGTATTTCTCCTCTGTGCTCATTGTCACAATAACACTTGCCCTGAACCGCACAGCTAGATGGTAAATGTGTTTCTGCTGATCTGAGCTCTGCAGGGCACAGGAACCCATGTCTTCCCGAAGCATCTCGAGGGCCTGGGTGACACTGTCCATGGTGAGGACCCCACAGGGAGGTGCTGATGGATACACTGAGGGTCAAGGAGACCCCATGAAGGAGGCTCTGACAGGGAAGGATGTGCCCTAGGTCACCTCACTTGCAAAGGGGCATCTCAGGAAACGTCCTGGTCTATTTCCTGATGCATCATCGAAACAACAACCAAGCTTTTGGGAAAACAGTCTCCCTTCCTGTGGGGCTGTTGACGTGACAACTGGGAGGGCCTGCCTCTAAGTGGCCACACCCTGTGCATCTGTTCTGAGGGCACCATGGTCTCCATCTGCACAGCCAGACCAGAGTGAGGAGACAACATGATCCCCACCCTCGTGGCTCTGCTCTGCCTTGGTGAGATTCTGACAGGGAGGGAGACGGGGAATGGGAGGGACCCTGCCCCCACATCCAGGTCCTGGTCTCTCAGGACCCAGGACTCAGGAAGCTCTTAGGCAGGAGGGTTCGGCCCAGGATTCAGAGCAAATCTCTCACAGAAAACTCTTTTTCAGGGCTGAGCGTGGGCCTGAGGATCCGAGTGCAGGCAGGTGAGTCTGTCCCCAGGTGTCTCGGGTCCCACGCCTCACTGGGGACAAGGGACCATTCCCTGGGAAGTTGGGGAAGGGAAATAGCAGTTCCAGGCTCGGGGATTAAGGTTATCTGAAATTTTGGGGGCTGAGAGCTGGGAACTAGGAGAAGGGAATGTCTTCTGACTCACCCCCTGATTTCCTTCCAGGGACCCTCCTCAAACCCACTGTCTGGGCTGAGCCAGGCCCTGTGATCCCCTGGGGGAGTCCTGTGACCATCTGGTGTCAGGGGACTTTAGGGGCTGAGGAGTATCGTCTGGATAAAGAGGGAAGCTCAGAGCCCTGGTTCAAACAGAAGACACTGGAGCCCGGGGACAAGATCAAGTTCTCCATTGCAAGTATGACAGAATACAATGCAGGGAGATATCGCTGTTACTATCGCAGCCCCTCTGGCTGGTCAGAGCGCAGTGACCCCCTGGAGCTGGTGGTGACAGGTGAGGGGACACTCAGGGGTCTCACTCTCAGACTCTTCCCTCAGGAAGGGGTCTGCTCTCAGGGCCTCTGCCCTCTCACAACCCAGCCCTGGGGGACACGAGGGAGGTGTGAGCCCCATTTCACATGCTGTCTCCTCCCCTCCTAGGATTCTACAGCAAACCCAGCCTCTCAGCCCTTCCCAGCCCTGTCGTGACCTCAGGAGGGAACGTGACCCTCCAGTGTGGCTCAGGGGAGGGATTTGGCAGGTTCATCCTGACTAAAGAAGGAGAACACAGGCTCTCCTGGACCCTGGACTCACAACAAAACACCACAGGACAGTACCAGGCCCTGTTCCCTGTGGGCCCCGTGACCCCCAGCCACAGGTGGACGTTCAGATGCTACGGCTATTACAGGAACATCCCCGAGGTGTGGTCACAGCCCAGTGACCCCCTGGAGCTCCTGGTCTCAGGTAAGGAGCCCAAATCCATTTCCTTTGTGTTCCTATGGTCAGCTCAGGAGCCTGGCCAGGAGAACCCTCATCTGGGGTGACAGTGAGGGGGGCTCCAAGCAAAGGTCAGCCAGACAAGATATTCCCCTGAGAGTGATGAAGAATGACAGGGGCCCTCCCATTCCTGCCCATTCCACGTACTTGTCACCAGAATTCTCCAGGCGTGTGGTTTGATGGCCTTGTGGGGCCACAGGGCAGGAAAAGAGTGTGAACAAATGCAAGGTCTGGGTGGGGAGCTCCAGGCTCTCACCATCTTTTTGTCCTTTACCCAGAATCCCCAAGAAAACTCAGCACCCCACTGCCAGGCCGTATCTCCACAACTGGTGAGTCACTTTTTCTCAAACGGAGCACAGACCACCCAGGGAAGCTCTGACAGTCTCTTAGAGGATGGAATGCCCTGTCACAACCCAGGGAGGGACTTGTCTTCTGGGGCCTGGAAGTCGAGCAGAGACATTGGGGGAAATCACAGGACACAAGGGATTCTGAGGCTGGTCGATGATGTGTGTGGGAGTCAAAGCAGATGGAGATGTGTGGGTGCAGTTTAAAGGAAGAGGATCTGGGTTTAAATGGCAAGGCAGGCCCAGCCCGTGTGGCTCAGTGGCTGAGCATCGACCCAGGCACCAAGACGTCGCCAGTTTGATTCCCAGTCAGGACACATGCTCAGGTTGTGGGCCAGACTCCCAGTGGGGGGGCATGCAGGAGGTAGCCAATCAATGCTCTCTCTCATTGGTGTTTCTATCTCTCTCCTTCTTCCTTCGTCTCTCTCTAAATAATAAAGAAAAAATATTTTGAATGAGAAGGCAGGAGCCAGCTCTCAACTCTCCATCCTTGGCTTATGATGTACAGGTGGGGTCCACTGTGAGGGGTGGGGGTGTCTCAGTGCTCCCTGACATGGTGATTTTGAACAGGCCCCTTTCCATCTGAGCCTCAGTTTCTCCCCACACAATGGAGGAGAATCCGAGCTCAGATCTCAAAGGACATCTCAGTTCTGATCCTGTAGGCGCTACCCTGGTCCGCAGAAGTGAAGGGCAGGCAATGTGGGGTGTTTGGGGTATTAGGCACAAACAGAGCAATGAAAGGGGTACGATACCTAGTGCTTTCCTAGTAGCCTGTGGTGCTCAGCCTGTTCTTATTAAAGGAAAAAAAATAATAATCAATAAAAAATAAGCAAGGGGTTGGAGACCAGGCTGTATGGGATGTAAATCTCAGCTCCGTTGCTTCCCAGCTGTGGGAACTTGGACAAGCCACATTTCCTCTCTGAGTTTGTTTTAGTGTCTGTGAAATGTGTCTCATACCATCTCTCTCACAGGTTTGCTAAAAGATTTAGGTGAGACCCCAGAAGAAGAATTTTTCAGCATGGGATGGGCCACCCAATGCTTCGGAAATAGCTGATCCAACCTCATGTCCCCTCCCAGATACACACTCAGTAAAGTTCAGGCAGATCCTGCATGGGAGTGTGGGGTCTGCAGGACAGAGGACAGAGCTTGGCTGGATATAGAGGTTGGGGAAGGCAGAGAGTTCATTCCACACAGACCCTGGCTCTGAGCATTCCCATATAGGTCCCCCAAATCCTCTGATGGGTTAGTGAGTGGGAATGATTGAGGACATGCATTCAAATCTAGCCAAAGGAGAAGGCTGGGCACATGGGACAATGGGGCAGGCCATTCCAGTCAGAGAAGCATTCCCCAGAGCCCAAAGCTGGTGTCTGCCTGGTGAGGCCACACGAGCAGAGCAGAAGGGAACCCACAGTCCTTGATTCAAATCCCAGCTCTGCCACTTCCAGGCTGGATGACCTGGGACATCCAACTTATCTCTCTGAGCCTCAGATTCCTCATTTGTGACATGAGTGGAGATGGGATTGGCAATCACATATTGCTTGATTGTTATGAGGGTTAGGGGTGATTAATATACAGAACCCAAAACATGTCTGGCACACAGTAGGTGCTCAGTTAAGTGGCATCATCGGCTCATTCATGATGTCATTGTATCCAAGGTCTTCAAAAGTACCAGAAAGTCCTGATCGGGGTCTCTGTGACCTTCATGCTGCTGCTCTCCCTCCTCCTCTTCTTCCTCTTTCTCCTCAAGCACCACAACAAATCCCGCAAGTCAGGTGAGTGGAAGATGGGGAGACCTGGGCTACCTGAGAGGGGTGACCTTCCTCTAAAGACATATGAAGTGGCTTTCTAGGTACCAAAATATGGCACCACACAAAAAAAAATTATGTTCAGTTTGGAAAAGTATCCTATTAAACAACCAAAAATTTCTAGAAAGCTCTTTCTATCCCAGCTTCCATTGATAATCTTCTTGGGGTAGAGATCTGAGATTCCCTTGAGAGTATGGTTGTGATGGGAGGCATCCTGTGTGGCAGTAGCAGGAGTTCACCCAGAACTTGGGGGACCATGCTGGTGTCCTCCTGCAGTCAAGAGCAGTGGGGAGTGGGCACAGAGGTGAGGAATGGAAGTGGAGTTTGAAGTGGTTGGGAGTTTCATTGTTTTGGGAATATATGTAAATATATAGGGTTAAATGCCCATGAAGGATTTAAAAACGTGTAAAGGCAGTTGACTAGAATAAAACCTGAGGTGTTCCATTGGAATTAAAAATGTCAGTATTGTTACTGAAAAAAAGTTTGTCTGCCTGCAGCAACAAAAGCCGAGATGGGTGAGACAGGTGCTGGTGAAAAGGAAAGGGGTTTATTCAGGTGCTGGCGCCCTGAGAAGATGGCGAACTCCTGTTCTAAAAATCCATCTCAACATCTCTCGTCAAACCAGGAGCTTTTATAAGGAGAGGGCAGGGAAGTAGGGACGTGTAGACAGTGTACTCTTGCTAATTCCAACAAAAATCTTGGTGGTAGCATGCTGAACCCTTTAATAACAGCTGAATTCCTGCAGTCAGTCAGCTCCTCTCTGGACAGGAACTGCTGTTGGTCCCTGTGATGTACTAAAACAGAGCTAAAATAGAGGTTGTTAACAACAACAACAAAAAACTTGTTTCCATTTTTTTTCCAACAGGTTTGTCAGTTTATTAGTTAGCACATTTAATTCTAATTTATACAATATTGCATAAAGATTATGTTTTACCTTACCTGTTACAGTATGACCTCATTAAAACAGTTACAAGTATAAGTGTTTTTACTTTTCTGTACCAGCTCAGACTTAGACACAGTGACAGCCCACTAGAAATAAGCAGACCTATCATCCAGATGTTGGCTTCTAAACACCATCCTCTATGAGAAAGAAGAAATTTAATAAGAATACACTTACCTGTTGAAAATGTTCTTTCAGGTTTATAAAAATGTATTTAAATCTATCATGCAAGTTTTGAGTGCTACTGTTTCATTTTGTTTACATTGAACTCCAAATGGACTGGGGTGGGGATCACAACCTCTGAGATCTTTTTTTTTTTTTTTTTTTTTTTTAATCCTCACCCGAGGGTATTTTTCCATTTTTTGTACAGATAGAATGGGAGGGAGAGAGAGGAAGGGAGAGAGAGAAAGAAACATCGATGTGAAGGGACACATCGAGTGGCTGCCACCCGCACGACCAACCAGGGCCGGGGACAAACTGCAACCGAAGTACATGCCCTTAGCGGGAACCGAACCCGGGTCTCTCCGGACCGCAGGCCGACACTCTAACCGCTGAGCCAAACTGGCCAGGGCAACCTCTGAGATCTTAATGCAGCCCTGGGGACAGGGATCTGGGTAGTTTAGAAGCTATTCTCTAACTTTGTGCAGGTGCTTCAGACCCTGAAGCTGAGACCAGAGAACTGCAGAACAGGTAATTTCTACCCTGTCTCCTTCCTAGACCTCCCACCTCCACCTGTAGCTCATTCAACACTGCCTAATGCTCCTGCTCTCCTCCCTCAGCTCCAGCTTCGCAACTGATGTCCAGGAGCAGAACCGGTGTAATTGTGGAGGAGGTGAGGTCCTGATTGGACACAGAAGAAGGAGTGGTTGGGAATATTCTGGGCTTAGGGGTGAGGAAGCATGAAAGTCCCAAATGTGTGTGGTTTCAGACACATCCCTGCCTCTTGATGAACCTCTGTTTTTTCACCTAAATTGGGAGGGGTGATTGGAATCGAGGAATTTCAGGAATCTTGCATGGAATAGAATCTTCTTTCTCTAGATGCATCTGTAATAGATTTCCAACCTGAGGAGGACAAAGACATGAACAGTCAGGTAAGACCCCTGCCCTGTCTAGGGCACCCAACAGAGACTTGATAATAAGCAAAATCCATGAAATGCATCTTCCTCCTTCTGTCACTCAGTCCTCAGCAACATATGACCTTGCCCATCCTCCTGAAAAAGATACACTCAAGATACTGGACCACTGCTTCTCATTGGGTTTTTCTGATATTATGTGGGCCCCTTTTTTTTGGTTCTTCCACTTAGGTCCCTTTGATTCTTCTTTTTTTTTTTAATTTTTATTTATTAATTAATTTTTGTTACAGATGTTTCTCCTTTTTCCTCCACTGATTCCCCACCCCCCGCCCTTTCCTCAATTTGTTGTCCATGCCCTTTGATTCTTGATTGTTCATATCTCATAATGATAGTGCTGCCATGGACAGTTGTACAGTTTATGCACTTCACAATAAGTCTTGTAGGGTTACTGGTGGGGTCTGACTGGCATGCCTATCCTTGCACAAAGCTCCCTGGAGACTAACCAGATCATGCACTAGTACACTCTGCCTTCCTTCCCCCCCCCCCTTTATTTCCTGTTTTATGACTTTCCCCCAATATAATGGATTTAGATGCACTGGACCCACACAATAATGCACCTTGGGCATAACAATTGGCATTTGGCTTCTACTTCCTCAGAAAATCTGCCAACTATCTTGTTGCCCTCATGTTCAGACAACTCTGTAATTTATGTTGCAAATTTTTATTTAGCCCAGCCAGTGTGGCTCAGTGGTTGAGTACCAAACTATGCACCAAGAGATCGTTGGCTCAATTCCTCATCAGGGCACATGCCCAGGTTGTGGGCCAAATCCCCAGTGGGGGGCATGCAGGAGGCGGCCAATCGATGTTCTCTCTCATCACTGTTTCTATCTCTCTCTTCCTCTCCCTTCCTCTCTCTCTAAATCAATAAAGAAAAAAAACTTTTGAAATTTATTTAATCCCAGATATAGCTAGATTCTCTCTGTGCTCATGAATCCACAATTATTTCCAGCTCTGACCTCTTGTTCGAGCACCAACCTCAAATATCCAAATACCCAACAGCCATCTCTACTGTTTTTCCAGCAGGCATTTTAATATCACAGGTACAATTCTTAAATCTCCCCCCAAGAGTTATTTCTCCCTCAATGTTCATGACTTCCTTCCAAATATTGACATCTTTCTCAATTGTATCCTTTCTAGAAAGGATATCTAGAAACATTTTGTTTGTCATAGGGGGGAGGGGGTACCAATGGCATCTACTGTCCAGGGATGCTGCTAAACATTCTACACTACATAGGACAGTCTCAGAAAGAAACACTCATCCCATGACATATGTCTACTCTTCTGAGTGGAGGAACGCTGTCATAGCTAAAGTAATTCCCTTACATGCTTTTCCTTACTCCCTACTGAATCACTATTTCATTTTCTCCCTAACACCTGTCACCATCCCACATGACCTTGTTCTTTGTTCCCAACCCAGAGACGTTGAAATCCCTGAAGTCAGGACCCTTATTTCTCTTCTCCTTGGCCCTTTGACAAATGTCTCTCTGACCTCTTATCTGTGTCTCTTTATCTATGTCTTTATGTTGATTTTTTGGTCTTTGTCTTTCTTTTTTTTTTTTTTTTTTTTTTTTTTATTGATTAATTTTTGTTACAAATGATTCTCCTTTTTTCCCCCAGTGGTTCCCCCCTCCCCCTTCCCTCCCCGCCCCTTCCCCCGATTGTTGTCCATGTCCACTGTTCATGCCTATATGCATATAAATTCTGTTGTTCATCCCTCTCTCAGCTCCCCACTCCTTAGGGGATTGTCCTCAAACTGTTATGTTCATTATATTCCAGAAATCAGTGAGATCATATGAAATTTGTCTTTCTCTGCTTGGCTTGTTTCACTCAGGATGATACTTTCCAGGTCCCTCCATGTAGTCTCAAAGGACAAGAGATCTTTCTTTCTTACCGCTGCGTAGTACTCCATTGTGTATATGTACCACAGCTTTTTAATCCATTCGTCTACTGATGGGCACTTGGGCTGTTTCCAGATCTTAGCGATTGTAAATAGTGCTGCTACAAAGATGGGGGTACATATATTCTTTCTGATTGGTGTTTCAGGCTTCTTAGGGTATATTCCTAGAAGTGGGATCACTGGGTCAAATGGGAGTTCAATTTTTAATTTTTTGAGGTGACACCATATTGTTTTCCATAGTGGCTGCACCAGTCTGCATTCCCACCAACAGTGTACTAGAGTCCCCTTTTCTCCACACCCTCACCAACACTTGTTGTTTGATGATTTGTTGATGGCGGCCATTCTGACCGGTGTGAGGTGATACCTCATTGTTGTTTTGATTTGCATCTCTCTGATGATTAGTGATGATGAACATTTCTTCATATGTCTCTTAGCCATTTGTATGTCCTGTTTGGAGAGGTGTCTATTTAGTTCCTCTGCCCATTTTTTTAATTGGATTCTTTGTCTTCCTTTTGTGGAGTTGTGTGAGCACTCTATATGTATTGGAAATTAACCCCTTATCTGATATATCATTGGCAATTATGCTCTCCCATACAGTGGGTAGCCTTTCCGTTTTGATGATTGTATCTTTCGCTGTGCAGAAGCTTTTGAGTTTGATGTAGTCCCATGTGTTCATTTTCTCCTTTGTTTCTATTGCCTTAGGTGATGTGTCAGTAAAAATTCTGCTGCGTATGATGTCTGAGATTTTGTTGCCCACAGTCTCCTCTAGGATTTTTATGGATTCATGGGTTACATTTAAGTCTTTTATCCATTTTGAGTTTATTTTGGTGTAGGGTGTAAGTTGATGGTCTAGTTTCATTTTTCGGCAAGTAGCTGTCCAATTTTCCCAGCACCATTTATTAAAGAGGCTGTCCTTACTCCACTGTATGCTCTTGCCACCTTTGTCAAATATTAATTGAGCATATTGCCTAGGGTCCATTTCTGGGTTCTCTATTCTGTTCCACTGGTCTATATACCTGTTCTTGTGCCAGTACCAGGCTGTTTTGATTATGGTGGCTTTGTAGTATAACCTGAAATCTGGTATTGTGATCCCTCCAACTTTGTTCTTCCTTTTCAAGATTGCTGTGGCTATTCGAGGCCTTTTTTGGTTCCATATGAACTTTTGAAGTAATTGTTCTAATTCTTTGAAGTATGACGTTGGTATTTTGATGGGGATTGCGTTGAATCTATAGATTGCTTTGGGTAATATGGACATTTTAATGATGTTAATTCTCCCAATCCATGAACAGGGTATGTTCTTCCACTTTTTTACATCTTGTTCTATTTCATTTTTCAAAGATCTGTAGTTTTCTGCGAATAGGTCCTTTATCTCTTTGGTTAAGTTTATTCCTAGGTATCTTAATTTTTTTGCCGCAATGGTAAATGGGATTGTTTGCCTAGTTTCTCTTTCTGTGAGTTCATCATTGGTGTATAAGAATGCCATCGATTTCTTGACGTTAATTTTGTATCCTGCTACTTTGCCAAATTCATTTATTAAGTCTAGTAAGCTTTTGGTGGAGTCTTTGGGGTTTTCTATGTACAGTATCATGTCATCTGCAAATAATGACACTTTCACTTCCTCCTTTCCAATTTGGATCCCTTTTATTTTTTCTTCCTGTCTGATTGCTGTGGCTAAGACTTCCAGTACTATGTTAAATAGGAGTGGCGAAAGTGGGCATCCTTGCCTTGTTCCTGTTCTTAAGGGAAATGCTTTTAGTTTTTGCCCATTGAGTATGATGTTGGCTGTAGGTCTTTCATATATGGCCTTTATTATGTCTAGGTATGATCCCTCAATTCCCACACTGGTGAGCGTTTTTATCAGAAATGGATGCTGGATTTTGTCAAAGGCTTTTTCAGCATCTATTGATATGATCATGTGGTTTTTATTCTTCAATTTATTTATGTGGTGTATCACATTTATGGATTTGCGAATATTGTACCAGCCTTGCATTCCTGGGATGAATCCCACCTGGTCATGGTGGATAATTTTTCTGGTGTATTGCTGGATTCGATTTGCTAGTATTTTGTTCAGGATTTTGGCATCTATGTTCATCAGGGATATTGGCCTGTAGTTTTCTTTCTTTGTTGTGTCTTTTTCTGGTTTTGGAATTAGAGTTATGCTGGCTTCATAAAACGAGTTTGGCAGTCTTCCTTCTTCTTGAATTTTTTGAAATAGTTTGAGGAGAATGGGTATTAGTTCTTCTTTGAATGTTCGGTAAAACTCCCCTGTGAAGCCATCTGGGCCTGGGCTTTTGTTTGCTGGAAGAGTCTTGATTACATCTTCAATTTCCTCTGTTGTTATTGGTCTGTTCAAGTTTTCAATCTCTATCTGATCCAATTTTGGGAGGTTATGTGTTTCTAAAAATTTGTCCATTTCGCTTAGATTTTCGAATTTGTTGCCGTATAAATTTTCATAGTAGTTGTTAACGATCTTTTGTATTTCTGTAGGGTCAGTTGTTATCTCTCCTGTTTCATTTCTGATTTTATGTATTTGGGTTCTCTCTCTTTGTTTCTTGGTGAGTCTAGCTAAGGGTCCATCAATCTTGTTTATCTTTTCAAAAAACCAGCTCTTTGTTTTATTGATCCTCTGGATTGTTTTTTTGGTCTCTATGTCGTTTATTTCTGCTCTGATCCTTACTATTTCTTTTCTTCTGCTTGCTCTGGGGTTTTCTTTTTGTTTACTCTCTAGTTCTTTAAGTTGTGAGGTTAGGTAGTCTATTAGAGATATTTCTTCTTTTTTGAGGTAGGCCTGTAGTGCTATGAACTTCCCTCTCAGAACTGCTTTTGCTGCATCCCATAGATTTTGTATTGTTGTGTCCTCATTTTCATTGGTTTCCAGGAAGTTTTTGATTTCTTCCTTGATTTCCTCGGTGACCCATTCATTGTTTAATAACATTCTATTTAGCTTCCATGTGTTAAAATGTCTTTGTATGTTCTTCTTGCAATTGATTTCTAATTTCATACCATTGTGGTCTGAGAAGATGCTTGTTATAATTTCAATCTTCTTGAACTTGTAGAGACTTAGTTTGTGCCCTAACATGTGGTCTATCTTTGAGAATGTTCCATGTGCACTTGAGAAGAATGTGAATTCTGTAGTTTTGGGGTGTAGTTCTCTGTAGATATCTATTAAATCCATTTGGTCTAGTGCTTCATTTAGAGTCTCTGTTTCCTTGCTAATTTTTTGTCTAGAGGATCTATCCAGTGATGTGAGCGGGGTGTTGAAGTCCCCTGTTATGATTGTATTGCTATCGATTTCTCCTTTGAAGTCCTCCAGAAGATTTTTAATATATTTTGGTGCTCCTATATTGGGTGCATATATGTTTATCAATGTTATATCTTCCTGTTGGATAGATCCTTTCAATATTATGTAGTGGGCTTCTTTGTCTCTAGTTATGGCCTTCAATCTGAAGTCTATTTTATCAGATATCAGTATTGCTACCCCAGCTTTTTTTTCTTTTCCATTTGCTTGAAAGATTTTTTTCCATCCCTTCACTTTCAATCTGTGTGAGTCTTTTGTTGTGAGGTGGGTTTCTTGTAAACAGCATATAGATGAGTCTTGCTTTCTTATCCAATCAGCTACTCTGTGTCTTTTTATGGGAGCATTCAGTCCATTTACATTTAAGGTGGTTATTGATATGTACTTATTTATTGCCATTTTTGTTTAGTGTGGTTCTATTTTTCTTCCCATTTCTCCTGGTAATTACAGCAGTCCTTTTAACATTTCTTGCAGTGCTGGTTTGGTGCTAATGTACTCCCTTAGCCTTATTTTGTCTGGGAAGCTCTTTATTTGACCTTCTATTTTGAACGATAGCCTTGCTGGGTAGAGTAGTCTTGGATTCAGATCCTTGTTTTTCATGACCTTGATTACTTCATGCCATTCCCTTCGAGCCTGTAATGTTTCTTGTGAGAAGTCAGCTGAGAGCCTTATGGGGGTTCCTTTGTAGGTAACCTGTTGCTTATCTCTTGCTGCTTTTAGGATTCTCTCTTTGTCTTGAATTTTTGGCAGTTTGATTACTATGTGTCTTGGTGTGGGCCTGTTTGGGTTCTTCTTACTTGGGGCTCTCTGAGCTTCTTGAACTTGAATGCCTTCTTCCTTCACCAAATTAGGGAAGTTTTCTGTCACTATTTCTTTGAATATATTCTCTAGCCCTCGCTTACTTTCTTCTTCTTCAGGGACTCCTATGATACGAATATTATTACGTTTCCAGTTGTCCCACAATTCTCTTAAGCTCTCTTCTTGTTTCTTAATCTTTTTTTCCTTTTGGTTTTCTGATTGGTTGATTTCTTCTAGCCTGTCTTCTAATTCACTGATCCGGTCCTCAGCTTCCCCTACTCTGCTTTTTAGACCTTCCAGTGTGTTTTTCATTTCTGATATGTCATTCTTCATTTCTTCCTGTTGGTTTTTCATTTCCAGATGGTTTATTTTCAACATTTCTATGTCTTTACTCATGTTGCTCATGTCCTTACACATGCTGTTGAGCTTCCGCAACATCATGGCTCTAAATTCTAGTTCTGTTAACTTGCTTAACTGCACCTCATTTATTTCATCTTCTGTAGAGGTCTCTTGATCTTTCATTTGGCTTTTGTTTCTGTTTCTCACCATTTTGGTTATCACAGTGGGCTTTGGAGTCTGCCAAGTTTTCCCAGTGGGTGTTCGTGTTTTGCTGTTTGTGGCTCCCTCTCCTGGGTTTGGATGCACCAGGGAGGACCCACTTTAATCCCGCCAAGTCCCCTGTTCTCCGGGAGTCTGTGTGGTTCCAGCGGAGAGTTTAGCAGGCTATAGCGTTAGGAGGGCCCATGCAGGGTGGCAAGGGAGGTGGTGGGAATAATTTCCAGCCAAGTTCCCTGGTCCCGCCCAGTTCCCTGGGGGCCGTGAGTCCGTGGGGCTTCAGCGGCTGCAGAGTTTCCAGGGCCGTGCAGGGCGGGGAGGGAGGTGGTAGAATTAATTTTCCGCCACGTTTGCAGGTCCCACCGAGTTGCCTGGGGGCCAGGAGTCTGTGTGGCTTCAGCGGAGAGCCTAGCCTATCCGGCTACAGGGTTTCCAGGCCGTGCACGGCGGGGGGGGGGGGGGAGGCGGTAGACTTAATTTTCCGCCACGTTCCCCGGTCCCACCGAGTTGCCTGGGGGCCAGGAGTCTGTGCGGCTTCAGCGGCTACAGGGCCTTGCACGGCAGGAGGGGAGGCAGTAGAATTAATTTTCCGCCTAGTTCCCCGGTCCCTCCGAGTTCCCTGGTCCCGCCCAGTTCCTTGGGGGCCAGGAGTCTGTGAGGCTCCAGCGGAGAGCCTAGCCTAGCCGGCTGCAGCGTTTCCAAGGCCGTGCACGGCAGGGAGGGACGCGGTAGACTTAACTCTCCACCGCGTTCCCCGGTCCCACCGATTTGCCTGGGGTCTGCGAGTCTGTGCGGCTTCCGCAGAGAGCCTAGCCTAGCCGGCTGCGAGTCTGTGCGGCTCCAGCGGAGAGCCTAGCCTAGCCTAGCCGGCTGCAGAGTTTCCAAGGCCGTGCACGGCAGGGAGGGACGCGGTAGCGTTAACTCTCCACCTCGTTCCCCGGTCCCACCGATTTGCCTGGGGTCTGCGAGTCTGTGCGGCTTCAGCAGAGAGCCTAGCCTAGCCGGCTGCGAGTCTGTGCGGCTCCAGCGGAGAGCCTAGCCTAGCCTAGCCGGCTGCAGGGTTTCCAAGGCCGTGCACGGCAGGGAGGGACGCGGTAGCGTTAACTCTCCACCGCGTTCCCCGGTCCCACCGATTTGCCTGGGGTCTGCGAGTCTGTGCGGCTACAGCAGAGAGCCTAGCCTAGCCGGCTGCGAGTCTGTGCGGCTTCAGCAGAGAGCCTAGCCTAGCCGGCTGCGAGTCTGTGCGGCTTCAGCAGAGAGCCTAGCCTAGCCGGCAACAGGGTTTCCAGGCCGTGCACGGTGGAAAGAAAGACTGTAGAGTTAACTTCCCCTCTAGTTCCCTGGCCCCTGCCCAGGCCGCTGCGGACCCTGGGCTCTTGGTCCCCTCTCCTGTCCTCGCAAGCCTACCAGGACTGAGTGGGTGTTTCTGGTTAAGTGGTCCTCCAAGGTGTCCTTCAGCTGCCCTTTCCTGACGGTTTGCCTTTGTTTTCCTTGTAAATCCAGTTTGGTCTTGGGAGACGGTCTGGGTCCCTCCATTCACTTCGCCGCCATTTTTTTTTCTCTGGTCTTTGTCTTTCTATATAGATAAATAGATAAAAGAATAGACAGATGTATACACTATTAGTACTGGTATAGAGAATATATACTCCCTCTCTCTATATGTATACAATATAAACATATACACATGTGTATTGGGTAAAGTAAATAAATTAAAGCCTAAATGAAGGTCTTCACGATACCTAGTTTCTCCCACGAGTTCATTTATTTATCCAATAAGTCAGCAAACACTTTGGGATCACTGGGGTGATGGGTTCCAAGCACATTCAACATCCAGCAAAGCAACATGCATTAGATCTTAAGTCTCCAGAATGACCTTCTTGATGTGATATTCTGCCCTCCTGGCCCTCTGGGGCTCTGTCGTAGACTGGGTGATATACACATGAATGCAAATGTACCTGAAAAAGAAACTTGCGTGATTTTATTAGTGTTTCGACATCAACTCTGGTTTCTGAAACAAGTGGAGCAAGGCGAGAAGTCCCACCCCTTCTTGTCTTCCCTCAGCTGACCCCTGACTACAAAGACCCCCAGGGAGTGACATACACCCAGGGGAACCACTCAAGGCTCAGGCAGGGGGTGTCCACCTGGCCTTTCATCCTGTTAGGGGAATTGCTGGACACAAGGGACAGACAAGTGGGAGAGGACAGGCAGTTGGGTAGTCATGTGGATCCTTTCTGCTTCCACTGCCTTGATTATTTTCCACCCCAATCATACAACTGCCTCTCACTCTACCCTCTCCTCTCCAGGAGGCTCCCTCTGAAGACCCCCAGAATGTGACTTATGCACGACTGAGCCACTTGACCCTCAAACGAAAGACAAGTGCACCCTCTTCCTCCCCTATAGAGGAACCGCCAGGTGAGCCCAGCGTGTATGCTGCTCTGGCCATCCACTAGCTTAAGAAGGACCCAGAACCCACTCTCCAGGGAGAGAGCTTGCAGAGACCCTGGAAGGCCCAGGAGCTGCCCCTATGGACACTCAACTACTGACCCCGAGCCCGAGGACATTTTGTAAGCAAGCAGGATATCACGAGACCTTAGAAGTCACCTTATTCTGCAGAAGGAGATAAATGTGAGTTCTAAGTGCTTTTCCAGAAATACAACAACACTCTTCTACATAACCAAGGATTGAAAGAAAAAAATCACCAATGAAGATAAAATCACAAATGAGTGTGCCTCAGTGGATTGAGTGTCATCCCATGGGCTGAGAGGTCCCGATTCGGTTCCTGGTCAGGGCACATGTTTGGGTTGTGGGTTCCATCCCCAGTCGAGGGCTTGTGGGAGGCAGCCCGTCCATGTTTCTCTCCCACATCTATGTTTCTATCCCTCGCTCCCTAAAAAATCAATAAAAACATATTTTTTAAAAAAGATAATGTGACTCATACATCAATCCGAATTCTTACTTGAATAGCAATGCAAATGTTATATATCAAGATCAAATGGGAAAGTTAAGTGCCTCACCAAAAGTATTCGAAAGAGAAGAATGCTTGGCACTCAGCCACGTAGGCGAGCATCTAAAGACATCAAACCAAGAACAACAAGTTCATCCCAAGGCAGTAGGTGAAAAATGTATAAAAATGATATGAATGTATAGTTACATGGAAAGAATAAAAAGGAGGAAAATCCATTGTGTTTGTCTTCCCAGGCTGCCTTAACAGTTCAAACAACAGAAATCTGTTGTCCCATCATACTGGAGGCTGGAATTCTGAGATTAAGGTGCCAGCAGAGTTGGTGTCCTCTAAGGCCTCTGTCCTTGGGTTATGGGTGGCTGCCTTCTTCTGCTGCTTACATGACCTTTTCTTGGTGTGTGTGTGTGTGTGTGTGTGTGTGTGTGTGTGTGTGTGAGAGAGAGAGAGAGAGAGAGAGAGAGAGAGAGAGAGCGCCCTGGTTTCTCTTTTTCTTAATTGATTTTTTAGAGAGAGAGGAAGGGAAAAAGAGATAAAACATCAATGTGAGAGAGCTACATCAATTGGCTGCCTCCTGCATGCCCCTTATTGGGGATCAAGCCCACAACCTGGACATATGCCCTGACCCTGAATCTAACTGGTACCTCTCAGTTAATAGGACAACTCTCGATCCACTGAGCCACACTGGCGGGAGTATCTCTTCTTTTAAGGACACTAACCTATTTGATCAGAGCCCCACCCTTATGATCTCATTTAACCTTAAGTACTTCCACAGAAGCTCATCTTCAAATTCAGCCAAACTGGAGGTTAACTGCTTTACCATGAATGTTGAGGGTGGGGGACATAAACATCCAGTCCATCATGGTCTACCCCTAAGCTCTCCTAATTCAGGTCCTTCTCCCATGCAAAATACATTCACTCCAGCTCTACAGTGCCCCAAATCTCCACTCAATCCAGCATCAATCATCCAGTCTCAAGTGCAGTCTCATCTACATATTGTCTACATCAGTCATGGGTGAGACCTGGGGTAGGACTTATTTTAAGGCCGAATTATCAACTTAAATTTGCCGGCTATATTTGGCCAAACATTTAATTAAGTCACCCCTGATGTGATGGCTGGAACTGCTTCTTTTTGGTGACACCTGTGATGTTGGCTGGTATTGATGATGTTGCCACTCGCAACTGCTTTTCCAGGTTTGCATCCGTCAGTCTGGAGCGCAATCAACTCTTTGCATTGGTAAAGTTATGGAAAGAACTGATCACAGCAGTGTTATTCCAAACACAGATGCATGTTTCAGTGCATGTCTCCTCAAAGTGGGCAATCCATCATTGCACATGGAACGTGTATAGAACTCAAGCAGTGGGAGGTGGTTCGACCTAGCTTTTAGCTCATCACCGTTTTGCAGCTGAATGATTTCGTGTTGTAGGTCATCAGGCACATCAGTTGGTTCCACATTGAACAGTGTAGCAAAGATGTTCAATTCCATTTGTTTACTCTTCACGTTCTTGAATATTTCATTAAATGCCTCAATTAGGTTCGCATATTCAAGTGTCATGGAAGGCTTTTGTCCATCCAGAGTGAAGAAATGCACTGTGTTGTTCTTTTCAAGGTGCACTTTCCACAACCTTAGCTTCAGATGATTTCATGTTTGAAAGCAGGGAGCTTAGAAGCTGGTTGGGGCTCTGCAGCTCAGCTCTGAGAGGTACTTGGTCATGTCCACCATGAATGCTAAATCACACAGCCACTTGCTATCATTGAGTTCCCGGACAGGTTTCCCTTCATCTCCATGAACTGCTTGGCTTCATCCCACAGTTCCTAAAACCTCATAAGCATGTTCCCACGAGTCAGACAACGCACTTCACAGTGATAAACAAGATCACCGCACTCAGAGTCAAGATCATTCAGTAACTCCTTCAACTGGTGGCTGTTAAATCCTCTGCTTTTGACAAAATTTATGCATGCCACTACTGTTGGCATCACATTGTTGAACCGCAATGACTGTGCACAAAGATTTTCTTGGTGTATGATGCAGTGGCACCTAATTGAATCACTTGGATCAAGACTGGGACCGTTCAGTTCTTCCTTGACTAATGCAATGAACCCTTTCTGTGAGCCATCCCTGGCTGGAGCTCCATCTGTAGGAAGGCCACTTAACTTTTTAAATGTTAGCTTAAGTTTTTTCATTGATAAAACAAGTCTCTCAAACAAGTCCTCACCTCTTGCAGGGCCAGGCATGGTCCCAGGGACAGCAGTTCCTCTCGCCTGTCAAACTCTGCAGTTATCCCATGAGAGTAAAACAGGAAATCTTCAGAATCCTTCAGTGTTTTTTCAACATTTTGAGCTAAGTCAGTCATCCGATCTGAGACAGTTCTCAGAGACAAACTAACACTCTGAAACAATGTTCCTGTGTCTGGTGCTCACAACTCCGCAGCAGCTGCCATGCGCTTTCTCAAACTCTCCTGATTCACTCGCTCACTAGACAACTCGTCTGAATATCGTCTGTGTCGCAACGAGGCCTAGAGAAAGCGGCTTGTTGTGGTTCCAAACCCAGCGGAAGAGCATTGATTTATATCCAGACACCTTGGCCTCCCAATTCATTGAGTTGAGTATGTCTTGAGCTCCAGTGACACGCCAGCTTGGCTTTGTCATTAGTGCTAACGCATCACCACAAACTAGGCACATAGGTGTGTCTTTCACTTGAACAACAAAAAACAATCATTTGTCCATTTCTCTTGGAAAGATCGACATTCCTGCATCAACTTTTCTTTGCAGTCCCCATTCGTAGGGTGCCATTCCATTTAAATTGTAATAACTATGCCATATGTGTGGCCAGAGATGAGATTATTTTGCTTTGATCGCTGTTCTAATTCTGCACCTCGATTTGGAACATATCCAATGTTCGTGTCATCGACTCCTGAGGTCTCTTCTGTGTACTGTGATTTCCTTCATCTTCATCCGAGATTCAGTTTACCCCAGGATTGTTGATGGTGGACGTGTGAATAAAGATTGGATTGGAGTTGTTATCTGTGTTGGCAGAGAAGTCGACAAGATCCATGTCCATCATCGGAGGTGAGGTCATCAACGTCGCGAGGAATCATCTCGTGGAATCCGGCCTCATCATCACCGGATCGCTGTGGATTCACCACAGAGTGTAACTGCCTTCGCTACGTGTACACTCCCAGCCTGCCCGTCACTGACAGTCTCTGAGTCACCACAATATAGGCAGACGGGCCGCGGGCAGTCGACGAGAAGTATACATGTCTGTCCTCTCGTGTACCTGTGTGTGTCCTGTCTATCCCATAATGGACGTTCTTGGCCTGTCCCTCAACATTTAGGTTATTATTATGATTCACTTAATGGAAATGTATGTTGCTGTGAAAAGAGCTCCCAAATTTATTGAATTTCTAGTCCCATCTGCGGCTGCCTTGGCAGGGCCAGAACTTATACGGCCCTTGGGCAGGATGTTCCGCACCCCGGACCCAGAGGCTTGTTCCCACAGAGGAGGGGCTGGAGGATGATGCTCAGGAAAAGAGAAGTTCACGAAAAAGGATGTGATACAAAGCCCAGCCTCCGTGGCCACAGAAAGGTGTTTCCTTCCCTAATTTTCTGCATTTCTCCTGAGTGCTCATTGTCACAGGGACACGCGCCTGCCCTGCTCAGTTACAGGGTGAACGTGTCTCTGCTGATCTGAGCCCCACGGGAACCCACGTCTTCCTGAAGCATCTCCAGGGCCTGACAACGTCTGTGGTGAGGACCCCAGGGAGGTGCTGACGGATGGGCTGAGGATGATGGAGACCCCACGGGGGAGGCTCTGACAGGGCAGGATGTGCCCTAGGTCACCTCACCTGTTTCCAGCTTCATCATAAAAGTCAGTCAGGCTGATAGAAAGAGGCGGTGCCCACAACTGTAGGCCGCTGCTGGGACTATCCTGTGAGAGGCAGAACCAGCTTCCAAGGGACCACAACCTGTGCATCTGTCTCTCCGTCCTGCATGTCTGTCTGTCCATCCTTCAAGCACCGTGGTCCCTTCCATCTGCTCAGCTGACCCCAGAGGGACAGGACGTCATGACCCCCACACTCACCGCCCTACTCTACCTGGGTGAGATGTGATGGGGGGAGGGGAAGCCCTGCTCTGTCAGAAGTTCCTGAATCTCAGCAGGCTCACAGGAAGGAGGGTTCATGTCAGGGGTCAGGGCGAACCTCTCACAGGGACTCTCTTCCAGGGCTGAGCGTGGGCCTGAGGACCAGAGTGCAGGCAGGTGAGTCTGTCCCCAGGTCTCCCAGGTCCCACTGCCTCTGGACACAGGGACACCCCCAGGGAGATGGGGAAGGAGGAGAGCAGACCTGTCTGACAGTCGAGGGACATCGGGGATGGGGAGCTGAGAACTGGGGTGGGAATGCCTTAGGACCCAGCCTCTGATTCCTTCCAGGGACCCTCCCCAAACCTACCCTCCAGGCTGAGCCAGGATCAGTGATCCCCTTGGGCAGCCCCGTGAACATCACATGTCAGGGGACTCTGGGGGCTGAGGAGTACCGTCTGGATAAAGAGGGAAACTCACCTCCGTGGAAAACACAGAAGCCACCGAACCCCGGAGACAAGGCCACGTTCTCCATCACACGGACGACAGGCCATGATGCAGGGAGATATTACTGCTACTATTTCAGACCCCCTGGCTGGTCAGCGCGCAGTAACACCCTGGAGCTGGTGGTGGTGACTGGTGAGGGGACACTCAGGGGTCCCCGCTTCAGGCTCTGCCCTCAGGAAGGGATCTGCTCTCAGGGCCTCTGCCCTCGCACAGCCCAGTCCTGTGGCACAGGAGGGAGGTGTGACCGCATTTAACATGCTGTCTCCTCCTCTCTAGGACCCTATAGAAAACCCAGCCTCTCAGCCCTGCCCAGCCCTGTCGTGGCCTCAGGGGGGAACGTGACCCTCCAGTGTGCCTCAGGGCAGGGATTTGACAGGTTCATTCTGACGAAGGAAGGAGAACACAGGTTCTTCTGGACACTGGACTCACAACCACACACCACAGGGCAGTACCAGGCCTTGTTCCCTGTGGGCCCAGTGACCCCCAGCCACTGGTGGACATTCAGATGTTATGGCTATTACAGCAACAGCACCCAGGTGTGGTCACAGCCCAGTGACCCCCTGGAGCTTCTGGTCCCAGGTGAGTCCCATTTTTATCCCTTCCATCGATTGAGTTGCTGAACAGGTTGTTGGCATCTTTGCTGGGAGGGGAGCCCAATGTGAGAGGTGGGGTCAGTGAAGCACAGGGGTTCCTGGGGCAGAGACCCAGAGAGACAGTGAAACCCGGGCCAGGCCAGGAGAAGGGGTTATGGGAGGAGCAGCCCCTGTACTCACATCTGGTCTCTCAGGTGTGTCTGAGAAGCCCTCCCTCCTGGCCCAGAAGGGCCCCATCGTGACCTCTGGACAGAGCCTCACCCTCCAGTGTCGCTCTGATGTCGGCTATGACAGATTCGCTCTGTCCAAGGAGGGGGGGCTGGACCCCACACAGAGCTTCGTCCCGCAGACCCAGGCTGGGCTCTCTCAGGCCGACTTCTCCCTGGACACTGTGAGCACCTCCCACGGGGGCCGGTACAGATGCTACGGTGGACACAACCTCTCCTCCGAGTGGTCGGCCCCCAGTGACCCCCTGGACATCCTGGTGGCAGGTGAGGAATCAGGGGTTCATTCAGGGACCAGACTCTGCACAGGCCCTGCTGGGGGGTCGCAGGTGGTCATGGTCAGAATGAAAGTGCAGGGCCCAGGGAGGAACAAAAACAGAGAGACAGGGGTGTGAGGGGAGAGGGGAGACTCAGAGAGAACAGAGACAGACAGACAGGAGGGTCCTAGGAGAGAGGCCTGGTGACTCTCAGGTCAGAACAAGGTGGGCAGGCAGCCCCTCACCCGCCCTCCCTCTCTCTAGGATGGCTCTCTGACAGACCCTCCCTCTCGGTGCAGCCGGGCCTCACGGTGACCTCAGGAGAGAACGTGTCCCTGCTGTGTCAGTCACAGAGCCCTAGGGACACTTTCCTTCTGTCCAAGGAGGGGACAGCAGATCCCCCCCTGCGTCTTTCATCAGAGCACCGAGCTCAGCAGTACCAGGCAGAGTTCTCCATGAGTCCTGTGACCTCCGCCCACGGGGGCACCTACAGGTGCTACAGCTCACTCAGCACCGCCCCCTACCTGCTGTCATACCCCAGTGAGCCCCTGGAGCTGCGGGTCTCAGGTGAGGGGCCCCTGGCCCTGTCTTTCTGTGCTGTCGGCTCAGGGTCCTGTCCCCAGAAGAAAGAGGAGCTGAAAGAAAGTAAGGGCTCTAGGGGTGGTGACCCAGAGGACATCTACCCTCAGAGATCTCACTACCCCATTTGATCCCTCCCCCTCACCACGGTCCAGAAGGTGCCAGGTGGGCAGGGAAAGTGTGTTAGGGGGCACAGCACAGGTGTAGATGAGACTGAGTGAGGAGAGGACCCCAGAGTCAGCCCCAGACTCCCACCTTCTTCTGTCCTCTTTCTTAAGATACTCTGGGACCCCGGCCCCTCCCCCTACAGCACCCATCTCCACAGATGATGAACCACTAAGTCCTCTTTGCTCAGAGGGAGCACAGACACCCCAGGGGGATTCAGACTTTCACAGAGGATCTAATGCCCCCGGGGCACAGAAGGGCAGCTTTGTGTCCCAGGGGACTAGGAATCAAGGAGAGATTTCAGGGGAACCATGGGATCCAGGGCCTCTGAGAATTCCCCCCAGCCCATGGAGTCAGGGCCGCAGAGGGAACGTGAGGCACAGGACAGGTGGGGTGCTCATGGCAGAGGGAAGCCAGACTCAGGTGGGGGAAGGCAACCCCCACCGCTCATTGACATTGACGTAGGGTGTAAGGGTGGGATGCGCTGGCAGGGGGTCTCCGTGCTCCCTGAGGTCATGATTTAGGTCCAGGTTCTCTGCCCAGAGCCCCAGGTCTCAGGGGAGCAGCCCTGGTCCTGTGCTGTCTGAGCTCCGACGTCTTCTCTGGGCTCAGCCCCCAGGAAGGTCTGACGTGGGGGCAATAACGTGAGCACTGGACAGTCCACAGAGGAGGGTCGTCTCCTGTGGGGGAGGAAACAGGGTCACCTCCCACACTGGGACCCACCCTGCAGGCTCAGGCAGGGCTGAGGGAGGGAGGTGGCCTTACTCGGGGTGAAGCTAAGAGACAATGATTTAGACTAAGTGACCAGACAGAGACACAGCCCACTAATTCTGGTGTCTCCACCTTAGAGTCAGAGTGTCGCTCCTCACCAGGGGGCGTCCCACAGGGGATCCTCAGGGAAAGGTGGACTCAGCTCCCCTGGGAGGTGGACTCTCAGAATCTCTCTGTCGGAACAAGCGGGAGCTGCCTGGCCTTGGCCTGCAGGGGCGCTGTCCTGTCGGACCTCCTGGGCTCCGGAACTGGCTGGTCCTGCACCTGCCCCGGTCCAGCCCTCCAGCCCTCCTGCTGCTCCAGTAACTGTGATTGTTCTGATTGGAAAGCTGAGGGAGACAGGGCGCAGGGACACGCGATTTGTATCCTTCCACCTGGGGGCTCAGCCAGCAAGAGGAAGCCAGGACATTACAGAGTCTGCAAGGATTTGGAAATTCCCATTTAGCATCTCAACTCCTCCTGCTTCTGCACCAAATCGGTGTGATGTGCCACTAAACCCGCATGGTGCCCGGGTCCCTAACCGGATAGGAGAATGTGTGCAGCAGATGATGGAGACAGGGGCGCGTTGGTAGAACTGGGTGTGCAGGCCTGGCCCATACTACAGGGAACACGGATGGGCTGATGGAGGAGAGGCGGTTAGTGTCGGAGAGAAGACAGATGGACAGTCCCCCATCAGCTCATTTCCAGAGACCCTGAGACTGAACCCCTGACCTGCACAGGTGGGGACCCTCAGCCTTCGCAGAGCAGGACAGGAGGATGCTCGGGCCAAGGAGGGACGTGTGTGGGTGAGGGTGGAGTCCCCTGGACACTGTGCTGTAGAGAGAACTGTTCCCTCCTGGGGCCCCCTTCTGCAGGCTCCTGAGCTCACCTGGAGGCCTCCATGCACTCGGTGCTCACCTGAGACTCGGGGGACCGTGCAGAGCTCATGGGGACTCAGGGTCCTGCCCAGAGTGTGTGAGAATTTCACACCGGCTCTCCGTAATTTTTGCATACGCCTCTCTATATTGATTTATTCTGAGAACTTTTAGGCAATACTTGCATATGTAAATTTAAATTAGAGTCGTCTAGGTCTTGAGAAAGGTTATGCTATCCCTATTTTAAATGGCATTATATTAAATTTGTGTATTTATTATGAAGAATAACTTTTTGTTAATACAAAATGTTTTATAAAAGATGCTAAAATAGGTTTAATTTTACGTGAAATGCATTTTTCATAAAACGGTCCCGACTCATAGCTCAACAACTGGTCAAGTGCTACCTATATGCATGTGTGTGCTTTTGGGACCTACACTTGGAATCTAGGTCTCCAGCTGTTGCATAAACTATAGCTCTCTTACCCAGTAGACTTAGGTCCCATGAGCCGACACATTGCAAGAAGTAGCTATTTTCTGCCATGGGACACCATGTTTCTCCCCAATCCTGAATTCTCTAGCAGAGCCAAGCTGTGTTCCCCAGTGACTCAGAAGCAGTCTCATCTCCAAAGGCACAGGAGTCGGAAAGAATCCATGAAAACAGACAGGGTCCTTCTCTAGCAGGAAAAGGGTTCCTGGTAGCAGTCATGTCATAAGAAGTGGGAGGGTTCTGGGGACCACAGGTGTGAGTGGCATCAACCCCTCACACAGCCCCACTTCTGTGTGGTTCTCAGGTGCATCAGCACCATCATCCCATCACAAAACACCTCAACTCACATGTATGTGGGTTGATGCAGACGCTCGTGACCTTTCAAGGGTTGGTGGGTGACCGGCATGGACATGCAGTATCTGGGCTGACATGCCTGCCATCACCTCTTTGACCTCTTTGTTCACAATTCCCAGCCTCCCACTCCCTAGACTACACAGTGGAGAATCTCATCCGGTTGGGCGTGGCTGGCTTGATCCTGGTGGTGCTCGGAGTGCTGCTGTTTGAGGCTCGAAACAGCCAGACAAGTACCCACCAGGCGGCTGGGATGTAAACACAAGAGGAAACAACGCATCTTCACAGAGGGTCACCATGGAAATGAATCTCATGTGCCCAGACAGCTCTGGAAGAGAATCTGGGACCTATGCGGTGTGACCTGTGTGCAGCTCACTGCAGGGGGAGCAGTCATTGTCCACGTGCAGGGAGAATGTCTGGGACCTTTTTCATTAAACTGTGTACACTGCCTTCCCCACCATTGCTGAGTCCAGTGATGGGTCCTGACTTTCCTCTTACGGAGGAATGAGAGTTTATCTCACGTGGCAGATGTCAGTCGACACCTCCTACACCTTCATGGAATAGATTTTCCTTGATTTGTAATCACACAAACCTTGAGGGAGGGACAGAGTATCCATCTGCTCAGTTCAGAGCCATCCATTCTAATCAATTGATAAGGTGGCATAAGCAAGATCCATTCCAAAGTAGATAAATCATAATCATCATGTAGCTCCCTCTCTGGACTCCACCTACGCTTCACTTTCCCTCAAAGGCCACCTGTGTACTTTCTTCAACAACCTTGCCCTTGGATCCAGAGGTTGTTGTTTGAAAGGCTCCCCTGGGCTGTGCTGCCTCTGAAACCCGTTGTTCTAAATACCATGCAATGTACCGATGTGTGTTACAGAGTGTACACCTCACACCTATGTAACTTTATTAACCAGGGACACCCTAATATATTAAATTTTAAAAAAATGATATGGTTATAATGAGGCTTGGTCAAAAGCTGTCCATCGGCTGCACTAGCTCTGGAGCCTCCCAGGAGGTATAAAGTTATCTTCCCCCAGTGTCCTACCTGGGGCCGTCTGGCACAAACTACAGAACAGTCTGAGGGGGGCTGCATGTTGCATTGGGCGTGGAGGTGCCCAAGAGAGTTAAGTTGTGAACCATGGTGTCTGCCACTAGGAGGTCCTAAGGCCACTGAGCAAGAGGCCCAGGGCATTTCAGGGCCAAATGCTCCTTCTTTGAATAATGTTAGGAAACACCAGAGAAGCCATTTGTATGGAAAAGTTACTGGAAACAGCTTGAGTAGGCTTGAATGTTGGATGGGACAAGGTCTCAGGAAATCAGCAGAGAGTGGGGCAAACAGTGTGAGCCAGATTTATGGAGACTCAGAGGTGGCGTCTGCCTGCGGGCTCTGTGGGGACGGTCTCAGAAGAGGGGAAATGGCCTCTGCCAGCACTTCTGTCTGGCAGAAAGCCGCCCCGCATCAGCTCTCACTTGGGTGACAGACAATTCAGTTCCTGCCCGTGTGTCCTTGGTTCTTTTCAAGCTGTCACCACAGAGTTGGAGCTCAGAGTGATGAATATGAGTAAGTTTGTTCTCAGGCCCTGTAAGAGGAATGCCTGGGGCTTTAGAGACCATCTGTCTCACTTGGCCCAAATCCCCACTGTTTTTTAAACCAGAAGTTGGAGAATTCTCTTTCTGGCATTGGAATCCTGGGTTGAGTGACTTGGTGTGGAGCTAGGACAGCCTGTCCTCAGGGGGAATCTCCACAGCCAAGATTGTCTCCCCAATAGTTTTCTGTCACCAGTGTATTTGAGACCAGCCCATCCCATGTCTTCGCCCTTTTTGCCAGTCTCAGCGTGGCTTGCTTTATATGTCTCTATTTGTACAATTTCCATTCACCTAGATTTCAATCATATTTGAATGATAATTAATTTATACTTTTTTTCTTGATTGATTTTAGAGAGAGTTTGGGAGAGAAAGAGATAGAAACATCAATGAGAGAACATCAATTGGCCACCTCCTGCATGCTCCCCACTCTGGATTTGGTCCAAAACCTGGGCTTGTGCACTGAACAGAAATTGAACCAGCCAGGCCATTGTTTTGTACTTTACATGTAATTTGATAAGAGTTTAGCAAGTGTGTGTGGTTTTTGTTTTGTGACTGGTTTATTTCATATGCCCTCAAGAGCCATCTATTTTAGCCTGTGAGATCATTTCCTTCTTTCATCAATAATTTACATTTTCAAAAAATGGGCAGAGGAACTAAATAGACACCTCTCCAAACAGGACATACAAATGGCTAAGAAACATATGAAGAAATGCTCATCATCACTAATCATCAGAGAGATGCAAATCCAAACAACAATGAGGTATCACCTCACACCTGTCAGAATGGCCGCCATCAACAAATCATCAAACAACACATGTTGGCGAGGCTGTGGAGAAAAGGGGACTCTAGTACACTGCTGGTGGGAATGCAGACTGGTGCAGCCACTATGGAAAACAATATGGTGTCACCTCAAAAAATTAAAAATTGATCTTCCATTTGACTCAGTGATCCCACTTCTAGGAATATACCCTAAGAAGCATAAAACACCAATCAGAAAGAATATATGTACCCCCATCTTTGTAGCAGCACTATTTACAATCGCTAAGATCTGGAAACAGCCCAAGTGCCCATCAGTAGACGAATGGATCAAAAAGCTGTGGTACATATACACAATGGAGTACTACACAGCGGTAAGAAAGAAAGATCTCTTATCCTTTGAGACTACATGGAGGGACCTGGAAAGTATCATCCTAAGTGAAACAAGCCAAACAGAGAAAGACAAGTATCATATGATGTCACTTATTTGTGGAATATAATGAACATAACAGTTTGAGGAATGGGGTAGTCCCAGAGACGCGGAAGCGGGGTACAGACTGACAATCCCCTAAGGAGTGGGGAGGTGGGGGAGGGATGAACCACAGAACTTATACGCATTTATGCATGAACAGTGGACATGGACAACAATCTGGGGAAGAGGCAGGGAGGGGTGGGGGAGGAAGGAATCAGTGGGGGAAAAAACGAGAATCATCTGTAACAAAAATTAATCAATAAAAAAAATAATAATTTACATTTTCTATTACAGTTGGCATACAATATCATCTTACTTTTGGGGCACAACATAAAGATCGGACATTTGTTTTTCTGTTTTTTTGGGGGGTGGCTTCCTTTCCCCTCACTGTTACATCTCCCTTTCTCCACTTTGAATTCATTGTTCTTCTAACTAAATTATATTACTTTCTATTTCTTCAACTGAGTGTGAAAATAGTAAAGTAATAATAAAGTAATAACTTGAAGCTCTTCTTTCGCTCTCATTTTTGTTATCAAGTTACTTAAAAGCAGTTTATTATTTTCAAATAAAGTGTATGAGTAAACTACTAGGAGAGAAAAATGCACCTTGTAGTTAAAGGACATCCCCCCTGAAAGCTGTTCTCTCTCATGGAGACACAGCCTGGCGCGGTGGGTCTACTGAGGGAGACGCAGTTCCTGCTTAGGGATTTGCCCCTGCTGACACGTTCACCTTTGGCCCTGAAAATTAATGTGGCTGAGCATAAAACCTTCATTAACATTCTGCTCCTTGAAGGTATTTTTCCCCTATCTTCTGATATCGTTTGTTTATTGTTGTTTTCTGAGTAAGTCAAGTCCCAGGGAGCTTGTCCTTATGGTAATTTGCGTTTATCTAGGAAGTAATTTTAGGATTTTTTTTTAGAAACTCAGGCTAGTTCTCCTTCAAGTTTTTTTATTTTGAGTTGAAATTTACATAAACTAATATAAGCCATTTTAATGTGTACAATACAGTGTAGAGTAAGATGTTGTTGTTTTTTTTAACTTACCCTACATTTTATTTGTTGCCACTAATGTTCAAGATACAAATTTTATTTTTAAGTCCCTGCATCCTGTCACTTAGTTGGTCTTTCCTCATCTCTGTAATGTGTTCTATTATGTATTTCTGAAGCTGTTACTCGATTTCATTCTCACTTTTTTCTTTCTAACACCACAGATAGAACATTGCCCTCCTCATTCTAGTTTCCAAGTACCAGACATCCCCACTTCAGGTCTCCCTAGGCTGCATTCTGGGAATTTCCTCAGTATTATACTCTACTCTCTAAATTTTCTCTTCAGCTGCGTCTCATCCTTGATGGGATAAATTGTTTTAATGTGTTCATTCTATTGGACATTTTATCTCTAAGATTTCTTACTCATGATCTTCAACTAAAATATCTATATCCTTCATGTGTCAAAAGTTGGTCCCTCCCTTTATTTTTCAGATACATAAGTATTTCAAATTACTCTCAAATTTTTCTTGGAACTCTATTTCAGTGCATATGATTGTCCCCATTATCACTTCATTGGTGTCCATAGCCCTCCTCATAATGAGGAGGGTCATTATTAGGATTAGACTATTATGCATTCTTGCTGGAAGTCTCTCCTCTCACACACCTGAGTGTCCACAGGTTTCTTCTGTGGACGCCCTGGGCCTCAAGCTGATGAGGGCTTGTTGCAGCAGCTCCTCACCATGGAGACCACTCTCTCTGTCTCAGCATCTACTCCGTGTTCTACCCATTAGACCTGGTGACTTGGGACACACACACACATACATGTGCACACACGCACACACATGGGACAGACACCTGTAGCTGATACTACAAAACTTAATCTGTTTGAGGGCACTTAGGGGAGCTTGCTCACTGCTGAACATGAGCTTGGTTCAGAGGGCAGAGATAGTCCAGGACCTGAACACAAACACAAGACTCTGGATCACAGCTTCCCCCCTTCACCTGGACCCTGACTCCTCCCTTCCTGTAAGGACCCGGAATCCGTCTGTGTCCACACAGATGAGAATCTCCTCCCTGTAATCTGTTGATGGCCCTCACTCCGCAGCAGAGACTACTCAGGTTTGGCCTCTGTTCTTTGCTGTGGTTTTGTCTCCATTTGGGGAACTTTCGTTTCTCTTTTGCTGCACTTGACTTTGCTTCAAACTCAAGCACTATTGTCAGCAGCTCTACATGGTACTCAGAGCAGACCATGTCTCTTGGGTGGGTGCCACAATCCTGCACTTGACTGTGGACACTGTATGCCTCTCATCTCCCAACCCACTCAAGCCGCCATATGATCTAAGAGCTGATATGTCCCCTTGTGAACCCAGCACCACCTACCCACACATCCTTCGAGGATCCTCATGAGGACACTAGGCTCAGAGCTGAATCATGACCACTCAAAGTCACACAGGCACTGGGAGATGTGTATTTAAATACTCATCTGCTTTAAGTCAAAATCAGAACTGTCATCCACACAGGAGTTCCCTGGGCGTCAGGGTGAGATCTGAGGAGAAGGAGAAGACTTGACCTCCAAAAACAGGAGGCACTAAGGAGCTAGTAATGACTCAACAGCTTCTCCCCAGGAAGTCAAGTTGAAGTCTGTTGCTTAGAGGAATAGAAAGTTCGTGAGGGCCACTAAGACAGAAAGAGAACCACACTCTGGGGCCAGGACGAGGGGCGTGTTTCCTTCTCTTATTTCCCTGCATTTCTCCTCCGGGCTCATTGTCACAGAGACACTCACCCTGAACGGCAGTTGGATGGTGAAAGTGTCTCTGCGGATCTGAGCCCTGCTGGACCCAGGAACCCCACGTCTTCCTGAAGCATCTCCAGGGCCCAGGTGGCACTGTCCATGGTGAGGACCCCAGACACTGGAGCTGAGGGATGGGCTGGGGATGATGGAGACCCCACGGGGGAGGCTCTGACAGGGAAGGACGTGCCCTGGGCCACCTCACCTGCAAGGGGCATCTCAGGAAGGCTCAGGACTACTTCCTGCTCCCTCCTGCAACTACAGCCAGGCCCTGGGTGACCCTGTTCCTATCCTGGGCGGCAAACTTCCATGACACCCGGTGACAGTGAGGGCGAGTCTCCCCGTGGCCACACTCTACGTGCTCGTGTGTGTTGAAGGCACCGAAGCCTCCTGCATTGGCTCAGCTGGGTCCAGACAGAGGACACACCATGACCCCCACCCCCACGGCCCTGCTCGTCCTCTGTAAGGTTTGAGGACGAGGGGGGAAGCCCTGGTCTGGGATGGACCCTGCCCCCCAGCCAGGCCGTGTGTCCCTAAACCCCAGGACCCAGGAGGCTCACAGGGAGGAGGGTTCTGCCCAGGATTTGGGGCCAAATCTCTCACAGAAACTCTCTTCCAGGGCTGAGCGTGGGCCTAAGGACCAGAGTGCAGGCAGGTGAGTCTGTCCCCAGGTGCCCCAGGTCTTGCTCCTCCCTTGTGACAAGGGACAACCCCCCAGGCCACTAGGGAAGGAGAACAGCAGGTCTGACTGACAGATGGGGCACAGCTGTGAGACCTGGGTATTGGGGGGGGGGTGTCTTAGGACCTAGCCTCTGTTTCCTTACAGGAAAGCTCCCCAAACCTATGCTTTGGGCTGAACCAGGACCTGTGATCCCCTTGGGGAGCCCCGTGAACATCACATGTCGAGGGACTCCAGGGGCTGAGATGTACCATCTGTATGAAGACGGATACACGCGACTATGGAAAACACAGAAGCCACCAAACCTCACAAACAAGGCCACATTCTCCGTCACACAGATGACAGAACATGATGCAGGGAGATATTACTGCTTCTATCGCAGCCCCTCTGGCTGGTCAGAGCCCAGTGACATTTTAAAGCTGGTGGTGACAGGTGAGGGGACACTCAGGGGTCCCAGCCTCAGGCTCTGCTCTCAGGGCCTCAGCCCTCTCACAGCCCAGCCCTGGGGGACACGAAGGAGGTGTGAGCCCCATTTAACATGCTGTCTCCTCCCCTCCTAGGACCCTACAGCAAACCCAGCCTCTCAGCCTTGCCCAGCCCTGTCGTGACCTCAGGAGGGAACGTGACCCTCCAGTGTGGCTCAGGGCAGGCATTTGACAGTTTCATTCTGACTAAAGAAGGAGAACACAGGCTCTCCTGGACCCTGGACTCACAACCACACACCACAGGGCAGTCCCAGGCCCTCTTCCCTGTGGGCCCCGTGACCCCCAGCCACAGGTGGACGTTCAGATGCTACGGCTATTACAGGAACAGCACCCAGATGTGTTCACAGCCCAGTGACCCCCTGGAGCTCCTGGTCCGAGGTGAGTCCCATTATTGTCCCTTCCATGGGTGGAATCACTAGACAGGCTGTTGGCATCTTTGCTGGGAGGGGAGCCCCATGTGAGAGGGTGAGGTCAGGGGAGCAGTGGGAGTGTGTTAGGGGGCACAGCACAAGTGTACATGAAACTGAGTGAGAAGGGGACCCCAGAGTCAGCCCAGACTCTTACCTTCTTCTGTCTTCTTTCTTAAGATCCTCTGGGAGCCCAGCCGCTCCCCCTACTGTGCCCATCTCCACAGATGATGAACCACTAAGTCCTCTTTGCTCAGAGGGAGCACAGACACCCCAGGGGGATTCAGACTCTCACAGAGGATCTAATGCCCCCGGGGCACATGAGGGCAGCCTTGTGTCCCAGGGGACTAGAAATCAAAGAGAGATTTCAGGGGAACCATGGGATCCGGGGCCTCAGAGAATTCGCCCCAGCCCATGGAGTCAGGCCCACAGAGGGTACGTGAGGCACAGGACAGGGGGGGTGGTGCTCATGGCAGAGGGAAATACAGGGCCCAGGGGCAGCCAGACTCAGGTGGGGGAAGGCAACCCCCACCGCTCATTGACATTGACCTAGGGTGTAAGGGTGGGATGCGCTGGCAGGGGGTCTCCGTGCTCCCTGAGGTCATGACTTAGGTCCAGGTTCTCTGCCCAGAGCCCCAGGTCTCAGGGGAGCAGCCCTGGTCCTGTGCTGTCTGAGCTCCGACGCCTTCCCTGGGCTCAGTCCCCAGGAAGGTCTGACGTGGGGGCAATAACGTGAGCACTGGACAGTCCACAGAGGAGGGTCGTCTCCTGTAGGGGGAGGAAACAGGGTCACCTCCCACACTGGGACCCCACCCTGCAGTCTCAGGCAAGGCTGAGGGAGGGAGGGAGGTGGCGTTACTCAGGGTGAAGCTAAGAGGCAATGAGCTTAGACTAAGTGACCAGAAGGAGACCCAGCCCACTGAATCTGGTGTCTCCACCTCAGAGCCAGCGTGTGGCTCCTCACCAGGGGACGTCCCCCTGGGAAAGAGTCTGAGTGTGGTGGACTCAGGTCCCCTGGGAGGTGAACTCTCAGAATCTCTCTGTCTGAACAAGCGGGAGCTGCCTGGCCCTGACCTGCAGGGGCGCTGTCCTGTCGGACCTCCTGGGCTCCTGAACTGGCTGGTCCTGCACCTGCCCCGGTCCAGCCCACCAGCCCTCCTGCTGCTCCAGTAACTGTGATTGTTCTGATTGGAAAGCTGAGGGAGACAGGGAGCAGGGACACGCGACTTGTGTCCTTCCGCCTGGGGGCTCAGCCAGCAAGAGGAGCCCAGGACATTACAGAGTCTGCAAGGATTTGGAAATTCCCATTTAGCATCTCACCTCCTCCTGCTTCCGCACCAAATCAGTGGGATTTGTCCCCAAACCCGCATGGTGCCCGGGTCCCTAACCGGATGGGAGAATGTGTGCAGCAGATGATGGAGACAGGGGCGCGTTGGTAGAACTGGGTGTGCAGGCCTGGCCCGTACTACAGGGAACACGGATGGGCTGACGGAGAAGGAGAGGCGGTTAGTGTGGGAGAGAAGACAGATGGACAGTCCCCCATCAGCTCATTTCCAGAGACCCTTGGACCGAACCCCTGACCTGCACAGGTGGGGGACCCTCAGCCTTCACAGAACAGGACAGGAGGTTGCTCGGACCAAGGAGGGACGTGTGTGGGTGACTGGAGTCCCCTGGACACGGTGCTGTAGAGAGAACTGTTCCCTCCTGGGGGCCCCTTCTTCAGGCTCCTGAGCTCACCTGGAGGCCTCCATGCACTCGGTGCTTACCTGAGACTCGGGGGACCGTGCAGAGCTCATGGGGAGTCAGCGTCCTGCCCAGAGTGTGTGAGAAATTCACACCTGCTCTCCTCATTTTTTACACCCGCCTCTCTATATTGATAACTTCTGAGAACTTTTAGGAAATACTTGTTTATGTAAAGTTCTGTTACTGTCATTTAGGTCTTGAAAAAAGTTATTCTGTTCCTATTTTAAATGACATTATATTAAATGTATATATTTATTATGAAGAATAACTTCTTATTAATATAAAGTTTCTTATAAAGGATGGTTGAATAGGTTGAATTTTACTTCAAATGCATTTTTTATTAAATGGTCCCAACTCATAGCTCAAGAATTGTTCAAGTGCTACATATATGCATGTGTGTGCATTTGGGACCAACACTTGGACCCTAGGTCTCCAGCTGTTGCAAAACTAGAGCTCTCATACCCAGAAGAGTTAGTTTTCATGAGCAAACACATTGCAAGAAGTAGCTGTTTTCTGCCATGGGACACCATTTTTCTCCCCAATCCTGAATTCTCTAGCAGAGCCAAGCTGTGTACCCAGTGACTCAGAAGCAGTCTCACCTCCAAAGGCACAGAAGTTGGGAAGACCCGGGGCAACAGACAGGGTCCTTCTCTAGCAGAGAAAGGGTTTTTGAGGAACTGGTAGCTGTTACGTCATGTGAAGTGGGAGGGTTCTGGGGATCACAGGTGTGAGTGGCATCAACCCCTCACACACCCCACCTCTTTGTGGTTCTCTGGAGCATCGGCACCATCAGCACATCATACAACACCTCAAAGTCACATGTATGTGAGTCAATGAAGAGGCTTGTGACCTTTCAAGGGTTGGTGGGTGACTGGGGTGGACATCCAGTATTCTGGGCTGACTTATGTCTGCCCTGACCTCTTTGACCTCTTTGTTCACAATTCCCAGCCTCCCACCCCCTAGACTACACAGTGGAGAACCTCATCCGGTTGGGCGTGGCTGGCTTGGTCCTGGTGGTGCTCGGAGTGCTGCTGTTTCAGGCTTGAAACAGCCAGACAAGGACCCACCAGGCCTCTGGGAGGTAAACACAAGAGAAAACAACGCACCTTCAGAGAGGGTCATCTTGGAAATGAATCTCATGTGCCCAGAAGGCTCTGGAATAGATTCTGGGACCTGTGCGGTGTGACCTGTGTGCAGCTCACTGCAGGGGGAGCAGTCATTGTCCACGTGCAGGGAGAATGTCTGGGACCTTTTCCTTTAAACTGTGTACACTTCCTTCCCCACCATTGCTCAGTCCAGTGATGAGTTCTGATTTGCCCCTTACGTAGAAATGGGCATTTATCCCACGTGGCAGATGTCAGTCCACACCTCCTACACCTTCATGGAATAGGTTTTCCTTGACTTCTAATCACACATACCTTGATGGACAGACAGAGTTTCCATCTGCTCAGTTCAGAACCATCTATTCTAATCAATCTATAGGTGGCATAAGCAAGATCCATCCCACAGGAGATAAATCATAAATATGGTCTAGCATCCTCTCTGGACTCCACCTGCCCTTTGCTTTCCCTCAGATGCACCCTGTGTAGTTTCTTCAGAAATCTGACTCTTGGAATCAAGACGTTGCTGTTTGAAGGGTTCCCCTGGGGTGTGCTGCCTCTGAAACCCGTTGTTCTAAATACCATGCAGTGTACCAATGTGTGCTAGAGAGTGTACACCTCACACCTCTATAATTCTCTTGTCCAATGACACCTCAATAAAGTTTATTTTAAACATGTTTCTTGTCCACTGCCAGTTACTCAAGCATATATGCTTTCTTTGTGGGCAACTTGAAGATGCCCCTACCAGATCTGATGCAGATTTGTGAAGCCTAGCACTAACTGACTTCCACACAGCAGTACGAGCCGAGGTGGGACCCCAATAATACCACTCTGAGAACGCCAAATTGCACCGAAGTTACTTTCCATTTGATGTGTTACAATTATTTCTATTTCAATGTTCACTCACAGTTTTAGTGGAAACACAAGACCATAGTCCCAATACATCAGATGAGAGGCAGAAAGAGAAATTTTAACAGAAGTTGTGGGAGAGAATAGTGAGCCAATCGAATTCGAATGTGTTACTTGTAGGAGTGCACAGTATATTCATCAATTCATAGACTGCATTACACTTGTCCAGAGACGCAGCTAAATCTTTCAGTAAGTGCCTTAGAGAAAATGTGTACGTATGCATCATTCACGAGGACATTGACAAGTTATTTTTATTACCCACCAAAAACAGAAAAAAAGAACCATCGTAAACTTACATGCATCAGAAAAGAAAAGAGATAATTTGGTGTTGTGTATAAAATAAATCAAATAATCTATGTCAATCAAGTAGCACTATTTACAATAGCTAAGATGTGGAAACAACCCCAGTGTCCGCAGTAGATGAGTGGATTTAAAAGCTGTGGTCCGTGTACACAATGGAGTACTATGCAGCTGTCTGAAAGAAAGATCTCTTATCCTTTGAGATGACACAGAAGGACCTGGAGAGTATTACTCTAAGCAAAACAAGCCAAGCAGAGAAAGACAAATATCACATGATCTCACTTATTTGTGGAATATAATGAACTAAACAAACTGATGAACAAAATTAACCCAGAGACATAGAGGTGGGGTACAAGCTGACAAGCCTCAGAGAAGAGGGTTTGTGGGGGGAGGAGATAAACCACAGAACTGGCATGCATGAATGCATGACCAATGAACATAAACAACAAAGCTGGGGATTGCGCAGGGCGGGGGGTGTGGGGAGGAGGGCGTCAGTCGGGGGGAAATGAAAAACATCTGTAACAAAAACTAATTAATAAATGAAAAATTTTTTTAATTAAAAAAATAGGCAGAGGAACTAAATAGACACCTCTCCAAACAGGACATACAAATGGCTAAGAGACATATGAAGAAATGATCAACATCACTAATCATCAGGGAGATGCAAATTAAAACAACAATGAGGTATCACCTCACACCTGTCAGAATGGCTGCCATCAACAAATCATCAAACAACAAGTGTTGGCGAGGGTGTGGAGAAAAGGGGACTCTAGTGCACTGCTGGTGGGAATGCAGACTGGTGCAGCCATTATGGAAAGCAATATGGCTTTACTCAAAAAATTAAAAATTGGCCCTGGCCGGTTTGGCTCAGCGGTTAGAGCATCGGCCTGCGGTCCGGAGAGACCCGGGTTCAGTTCCTGCTAAGGGCATGTACTTCGGCTAAGGGCATGTACTTCAGTTGCAGTTTGTCCCCGGCCCTGGTTGGTCATGTGGGTGGCAGCCACTCGATGTGTCCCTTCACGTCGATGTTTCTGTCTCTCTCTCCCTTTCCCACCCGCAGTGGACATGGATAACAAATTGGGGACAGGGCAGGGAGGAAGGGCGAGGGGGGAATCAATGGGGGAAAAAGGAGAAACATCTGTAACAAAAATTAATTAATAAAACCATTATTAATTAATTAATTAATTAATTAATTTAAAAATGCACAAATTGGACATGTAAATCCATCTTCACACATAACAGTTAAAGAGAGGTAGAAGATGATAAATCTATGTATTCAGGATTATCCATTTACCTGAAGTTAAGAAGGAGACATGATGTGTTGTTTGGGAATGTGTACCTAAGATAATCCCCACAAATAGATGGAATGAAAGAATTCCAGGAACTCCGTGATGGCAGTTACCCGCTAAGACTTGCTGGAGGGTTTTCTTCGGAACAGAAACCATAGAACCTTCAGGAATCATGTCCCTGTGCTTCTTGACTTTCACTTGACTACTCATAAGTCTGTGTGTCACGACTGGTAGACGCCGCATGGCTGTGCTGTAACCATCATTCATGTCCACACCAGTGGGGATGAACTAGGGAGCTGACAGGCCCACCCCACCCTAAGTGACCACATTTACCACAAAGTGTCCGCTCATCACACGCAGCAAACACTTCACATTTTGGCCTTGTTTGTCCCACAAACAGGACCTCACCTGCCTGATCAGCCCCCCTCCCAGCCCCCCGAGTCCATTCACACAATGAGCATTTCCAGTAGAAGAATCTGGGGCTCTGAACTAAGCATGTGACCAATAGCATGGGATGCGCAAGTCAGAGTTTTAATAGGGTCCATGAGGGTTCCTCACCCACAATGGCCCTAGAATCTGAATTGGGACGAAGCCCAGCACTATGGAGGTGCGGGTGACTTCCCAGATGGGGTCCACCACCATCTCAAGGTGGTTGTAAGTCACACCCTAGGATTGGTCCTACGGCTGACAACGTAGGACTTCATCTGTTTCAGGCCACAGAGGAGGTTGCTCACTGCTGACCATGGGCTTGGTCCTGAGGGCAGAGATAGCCCAGGACCTGAACCCAAACATGAGGCTGGGGACAACAGCTCCCACCTTCACCTGGACCCTGACTCCTCCCTTCCTATAAGGACCCAGGGTCCCTCTGTGTCCACACAGGTGAGAATCTCCTCCCTGTAATCTGCACATGGCCCTCACTCAGCTGCAGAGACTACTCAGCTTTGGCCTCTGTTCTTTGCTGTGGTTTTGTCTCCATTTGGGGAACTTTCGTTTCTCTTTGGCTGCACTTGACTGTGCCTCAAACTCTAGAACAAGTGTCAGTAGCTCAACTTGGTATTCAGAGGAGACCAGGTCTCTGGGGTGGGTGCCACAATCCTGCACTTGACTCTGGACACCTTGACTCTTTCATCTCCCAACCCACTCAAGCCTCCATCTGATCTAAAAACTGATGTGTCCCCCCGTGAACCCAGCACCGCCTAGCACACCTGCTCCGAGGATCCTCATGAGGACACTGAGGACACAGAGCTAGGACAGGACCACTCAAGGGCACACAGGCACTGGGAGATGTGTATTTAAATAATCATCTGCTCTAAGTCAAAATCAGACTGTCATCCACACAGGTGTTCCCTGGGCGTCATGGCGAGACCCCAGGATGAGGAGGAGACGTCAACTCCAAAAACAAGAGGCACTGAGGAGGTGGGAATGACTCAGCAGCTTCTCCCCAGGAAGTTGAGGTGGAGTCTGTCACTAAGAGAAATAGAAAAGTTTTTGAGGGCCACTAAGACAGAGAGAAAACCACACTCTGGGGCAGGACGAGGGACGTGTTTCCTTCCCTTATTTCCCTGCATTTCTCCACAGTACTCATTGTCACAGGGACACTCACCATGAACGGCAGTTGGAAGTTGAATGTGTCTCTGCGGATCTGAGCACCACCGGCCCCAGGAACCCACGTCTTCCTGAAGCAGCTCCAGGGCCCAGGTGGCACTGTCCATGGTGAGGACCCCAGACACTGGAGCTGAGGGATGGGCTGGGGATGATGGAGACCCCACAGGGGAGGCTCTGACAGGGAAGGACGTGCCCTGGGCCACGTCACCTGCCAGGGGCATCTCAGGAAGGCTCGGGACTACTTCCTGCTCCCTCCTGCAACTACCGCCAGGGCCTGGGTGACGCTGTTCCTCTTCCTGAGTGGCAAACTGCTGTGACACCCGGTGACAGCGAGGGCCCATCCGCAGTGGCTACACCCTACGTGCTCGTCTGTGTTTAAGGCACCAAAGCCTCCTGCATTGGCTCAGCTGGGTCCAGACAGAGGACACACCATGACCCCCACCCCCACGGCCCTGCTCGTCCTATGTAAGGTTTGAGGACGAGGAGGGGAAGTCCTGGTCTTGGATGGACCCTGCCCCCCAGCCAGGCCGTGTGTCACTAAACCCCAGGACGCAGGAGGCTCACAGGGAGGAGGGTTCTGCCCAGGATTTGGGGCCAAATCTCTCACAGAAACTCTCTTCCAGGGCTGAGCGTGGGCCTGAGGACCAGAGTGCAGGCAGGTGAGTCTGTCCCCAGATGCCCCAGGTCTTGCTCCTCCCTTGAGACAAGGGAGAAACACCCAGGCCACTGGGGAAGGAGAACAGCAGGTCTGATGACAGATGGGGCACAGCTGTGAGACCTGGGGATTGGGGTGGGAATGTCTTAGGACCCAGCCTCTGTTTCCTTACAGGTATGTCCCCCAAACCTACGTTTTGGGCTGAGCCAGGATCTGTGATCCCCTTGGGGAGTCCCGTGAACATCACATGTCAGGGGACTCCAGGGGCTGAGATGTACCATCTGTATAAAGACGGATACACGCAACTATGGAAAACACAGAAGCCACCGAACCCCGGAGACAAGGCCACGTTCTCCATCACATGGACGACAGACCATGATGCAGGGAGATATCACTGCTACTATCGTATCCCCTCTGGCTGGTCAGAGCGCAGTGACCCCCTGGAGCTGGTGGTGACAGGTGAGGGGACACTCAGGGGTCCCAGCCTCAGGCTCTGCCCTCAGGAAGGGGCTGCTCTCAGGGCCTCTGCCCTCTCACAGCCCAGCCCTGGAGGACACGAGGGAGGTGTGACCCCATTTAACATGCTGTCTCCTCCCCTCCTAGGGTCCTACCTCAAACCCAGCCTCTCAGCCCTGCCCAGCCCTGTCGTGACCTCAGGAGGGAACGTGACCCTCCAGTGTGTCTCAGGGCAGGGATTTGACAGGTTCATCCTGACTAAGGAAGGAGAACACAGGCTCTCCTGGTCCCTGGACTCACAACGACACACCCCGGGGCAGTACCAGGCCCTGTTCCCTGTGGGCCCCGTGACCCCCAGCCACAGGTGGACGTTCAGATGCTATGGCTGTTACAGGAACAGCCCCCAGGTGTGTTCACACCCCAGTGACCCCCTGGAGCTCCTGGTCCTAGGTGAGTCCCCATTATTGTCCCTTCCATGGGTGGAATCACTAGACAGGCTGTTGGCATCTTTGCGGGGAGGGGAGCCCCATGTGAGAGGTGGAGTGAGGGCAACAGAGTGGCTTTTGGGGCAGAGACAAAGAGACAGTGAGACCCGGGCCAGGCCAGGAGAAGGGGTTATGGGAGGAGCGTCCCCTGTACTTACGTCTGGTGTCTCAGGTGTGTCTGGGAAGCCCTCCCTCCTGGCCCAGCAGGACCCCATCGTGGCTCTGCTGCTCCTGCAGGGGGTCAGGTGGTCCCTTCCCTTCCCTGATTGTTGGGTCATTTCTGTCCATCCCTGGCCCCTCCTGCTCACAGGCTGCTGTCAGATCAGGTGACATAAGGGGTCCCACAGAGCTCAGGAAGGCAGAGCCCCAGCCCACCCACCTTCCTAGGGGGCATCTGCAGGGTGGAGATGGATCCAGGGGAGACACAGAGGCCACCCCACACCCCTCCCTCTCCTGTGTCCCTGCTGGGCTCGGGGTGGGGAATAAGGAAGGACCCTCAGCTCAGATGAGACATGGACAGGCCCCTGCAGATGAGGAGCCCAGAGCACGAAGCTGAGGTCCCTCTGGGGCAGCATGAGGAGAGCACAGAGCACCCACAGTCCCGGGTTCCAGTCCCAGCCCTGCCCCGTTCAGGCGGGGTGACCTGGGGCACATGACTGACCTCTCTGAGCCTCAGTGACCTGGTGGGGCACAGTCCCTGGTCCATGACTGTGTGAGGGGAGAGGGATGAATGACAGACCCCAGCACGTGCCTCGCACACAGCAGGTGCTCAGTAAGTGACATCATAGGTTCATTCATGATGGCCCTCTAGTCCAAGGTCTCCCGTGGTACCAGTATGTCCTGATTGGAGTCCTGGTGGCCCTCGTCCTGCTCCTCACCCTCCTCCTCTTCCTCTTCCTCCGACACCGGCGTCAGGGCAAAGGCAGGACATCAGGTGAGTAGGGGATGGGGTGACCTGGGTCACAGAAGGGGGCACTCAGATAACCCGCCACAGGAAAACCTAATAGATAGAGGTCAGCTGAGAAAAAGATTTCTCTGGAATCTCACATCAGAAAATCTAGAGAGAACACCCCTAACGTCAGCACACGTGGATGCATTGAAGGTTCTGTCACTGTCTTCTGTCTCATGAAATAGGAAAACATTTGCACAAGTGTGTGTTAAGGTTTCCTTCTTCTGAAGTCACAGGGGAGGTGAGGGTCCCTCCCGTCCCAGGGCTGAGACTGTCCCTCTTGACCAGCCCGGAGAGAGGCTGATGTCCAACCTCCTACAGGGGCTGAAAACCCAGGGCCCAAGGACAGAGGCCGGCAGATCAGGTAACTCCTGCCCCAAAGACCTCAAACTCCCACTGCCCGTGGCTCCTTTCTGCCCCTAACACTCCTGTCTCCTCCCCCAGCTCCATCCCAGCTGTGGACGCCCAGGAAGAGCCCCTCTGTGAGAGGAAGAGACTGCTGTCCTGGGGGAGGGGGCACGGGGATTTCAGGAGAGAATGGGGGAGGGTTCGGCTAGGAGGGTGTGGGGGTCAGTGGTGAGAAGGACTGAAATCTACCCTGGGTGACCTGGAGCCTCACCTCACCCCTGGGTTAGTGGCTCATTTGGGAACAGGTGGGGTCTACAGCCCTGAGATCTTGGGGACCCGGTCAGGAGACACACCCTGTTTGCCCCAGCAGATGCTGCCATGAAGGACCCACAGCCTGGGGAGAGCGTGGAGCTGGACTCTCAGGTGAGACCCTGCTTCTGTCCAGGCACCAAGGACCTCATGTTGCCCAGTTTAGGCCAATGGACTCTTCCCTGTCCTCACATCACCTGGTTCTCAGCAGTGTCCACACTGACCTCTGCTTCTGGGCACCCAGGTCGTCCTGCTGTGACTCACTGCTCCTGGTTTTCTTGTGACCTCATGACCCCTCTCTGTGGTCCCCTTTGCTGGCTCCTCGTCCTCTGTCTGACCCTGTGCAGCCCCAGAGCTCAGGAGGATGCATGAATAAGTGAATCCCCCACAGGTCCCCAGGATCCCCTCATTCATTCCCCCAGCAGATGTGACGGGGAGCTCACTGTTCACAGCTCCATTTAGGTGCCGCGGTGCAGCCCTGAGCAACACTGTCTCCACACCCCTTGAGCTCACCTGTGGGTGAGGTGGACAGTATGCAAACAAGTGACAGTGTCCCAGAGAGCAGAGTGCTGTGAAGGGAAATAAAACAAGAGGAGGGGATAGAGTCCATGGTTGAAGGCGGAATACAGAGAACAGGAGGTGCAAATGTCCTGAGGCAGGACAGGAATCTTCAGGAAGATGGGCCATTTGGCTGGAGCCAAATGAACAAAAGATAGGATGTTAGGATAAGAGTCAGGACGTTAGAAGCATCTGGAAGCCCCAAGGCTGAGGAAGTTCCTGCAGATCCATCAGGAGAGGGACCGAATCGGATCTGACGTAAATCCTCACTCTGGCACCATGTTGGATAACTGACAGGAGGGTTCAACAGTGGATCAGGAGACATTGTTTCTCACTGTCTCTCCCCACAGAACACACACTATGAAGACCCCCAGGGAGGGACACACACCCAGGTGAACCACTCAAGATCAAGACTCAGGCAGGGAATGGGCACCTCTACAGCCTCCCTGTCGGGGGGATTGCTGGACACGACGGGCAGACAAGCAGAAGAGGACAGAGAGATGGACAGTCAGGTGGGTCCACACCCCTCCACACATCCAGGCTTCCCCCAACCTCAACCACATTTCATCCTTCTCACTCTCCCCCTGCTCCAGGCTGCTGCATCTGATGCCCCCCAGGATGTAACCTATGCCCAGCTGAACCACTTGACACTCAGGCGGGAGACAAGTGCACCCCCTTTCTCCCCATCAGAAGAGACCCCAGAGGAGCCCAGTGTGTATGCTGCTCTGGCCACCCACTAGCCCAGGAGGACCCAGACCCCACACTCCAGGAAGGGGGCTGGCAGGGACCCCAGAAGACATGGGAGCTTCCCACATGGACATTCAGTTAGCGACCCTGGCCACCCTGAAGACCTGACAAGGACCCCCCAGTACCTCCTGGAACCCTCCGGAGGTCACCAGATTCTACCTTTGAAAATAAGTAATGTTCCTACATTTTGGAATCAAAGAAACAGACTTCTCAATAATCAATGTGTGAATTTAGAACCAAAACAGAAATGAGAGGATTCTTCACATGAAAGATAATATAAATATTACACATCAAACCTATGAAATGGAAAATTAGGATCCATGGCCCTGACCAGTTTTGGCTTAGCAGTTAGAGTATCAAGGGTTTTATTCCCGGTAAAGGGCATGTACCTGGGTTTCAGGTTCGATCCCCAGCCACAGTCAGGGTCGTGCAGGAGACAACCAATCAATGTGTCTCTCTCACATCGATGTTTCTCTCTCTCTCCCCTCCCTCCTTTCCACTTTATCTAAAAATTAATGGAAAGATATCCTTGAGTACGAATTAACAAAAAAAGAAAAAAATTAATTACCATGAATAAATATATTGGAAAAGAAAAAGGCAAAGATGTAGAAACAACCTACGTGTCTTTCAATGGCTGACAGAATGAAGATGTGGTAATATATACAATAGAATATTGCTCAGCCACAAAAAAAAGATGTAACACTGGCATTTGCATCAAAATGGATGGATCTGGAGACTATCATGCTAAGTGTAACAAGTCAGACAGAGTAGAACAAGATCCATATGACTTCACTCTTCGTGTGAAACTGAACTGTCATGTATATTAAGTATATTGAACCTGTAATTAAAAATTGTCCTGGAAACTGAACTCAGAGTCTAGAAAGCTTCAATGGTAAATGCGTCTGAACACTTAGGCATGTATGAAGTACACACAAACATGGCTACATGGACACAGACACACACACACCAAACTTACACAAGCTTCTCCTGAGAATAGATAAGGAAGGCATGTATCCCAAACACACTTTATCGGGCTAGAAATAATTTGATACCAAATTCAAACAAGGCAGCTACAAAATGGGAACATCACGGGAATCTCTCTCACATGAACTTAGGTATAGAGTCCTAAACAAAATATTCAAACAAGATTCATCAATACAAAAACTGGATAATCTATCATAACCATGCTGGTATGTGCTTTCAGGAATGCATGGTGGGTTTCATATTCAAAACAATCAATCAATACAATTCAAACATAAAAAAAGAAGAAATAGGAAAAAAATTATATCAACAGATGCACAGTTTTTGTTAAAAATGAAGCACTAATTTATCATTTTAAAACCTCCTCAGAAATAAAAGAGAATTTTCTATCATTTGTCAAAATATCTTTGAAAATCTTAATAAAAAATTTTTTTTACTTAGGATGATACTTTCCAGGTCCCTCCATGTCATCTCAAAGGATAAGAGATCTTTCTTTCTTACAGCTGCATAGTACTCCATTGTGTATATGTACCACCGCTTTTTTATTCATTCGTCTACTGATGGACATTTGGGCTGTTTCCAGATCTTAACTATTGTAAATAGTGCTGCTACAAACATGGGGGTACATATATTCTTACTGATTGGTGTTTCAGGCTTCTTAGGGTATATTCCTAGAAGTGGGATCACTGGGTCAAAGGGGAGTTCAGTTTTTAATTTTTTGAGGTAACACCATAGTGTTTTCCATAGTGGCTGCACCAGTCTGCATTCCCACCAGCAGTGTACTAGAGTCCCCTTTTCTCCACACCCTCGCCAACACTTGTTGTTTGATGATTTGTTGTGATCTCACTTATTTGTGGAATATAATGAACATAACAGTCTGAGGAATGGGGTAGTCCCAGAGACGTGGAAGTGGGGTACAGACTGACAATCCCCAGAAAAGGGGGTGGTAGGGGAGAGATAAACCACAGAACTTATATGCATGTATGCATGAACAATGGACATGGACAACAAAGCTGGGGACGGGGGGTGGGGGTGGGAAAGGGAGAATCTGTGGAGGAAAAAGGAGAAACATCAGTAAAAACATTAATTAATTAATTAAAAAATAAAAATAAAACACTAATTTACTATTTTAAAACCTCTTCAGAAATAAAAGAAAATTTTCTATCATTTATCAAGATATCTTTGAAAATCTTTATAAAAGAAGTAATTTTTAAAGGTAAAAGCTTGAAACTATTTTGCCTGCAATTGACACTGTGACAAGAATATTCACTATGACCACTTCTATTCAGCACTGGAAGAACCAAGCATTTAAGTAAAAGGGGAGGGGGTGATAAGGACTGAATGGACGGAATAAACCGTATTGTTCACAGATTATATGTTATGTGCATGAAAAATGCAAAATGATATAAAGATCTACACTGGGCACATCAGTAATATATACAAATCAATTGCATTTCACACTTCCAGTTTTAGACCAAGGGGAAAGAGAGGTAAGTATCTCTAACAATCCCACCACCCCCTAAAGCAGTGTAAAACTCCTGGACATTGCATATACATCAAACATAAGAACACTTCAAAAAGTAGAGAGAGGCAGCAGACATGCTAAGACTGTTAAGACCCCATGACACAGTGGTGTCAAAGGAGGCCACACAAGGTACCTGGACTGTCTCTTCCACCTCGCAGTAACAGGTCAATAGCCCAGTCATGTGTCAGAAAATGCCTTCTATAACAAAAGATCTAAACTCTCACAACATGATATACAACATATTCAGGATTCAATTTTTTTTCTATTTTTTCAAACTTATCTTTATTGTTAAATGTATTACAGATGTCCCTCTTTATTCCCCCCTTGATCTCCTTCTCCCCAAACCCTCCCCTGTCCTGCTTTCCCCACAGTATTGTCTGTATCTATTGGTTATGCATCTGTATCTATTGGTTCTTTGGTTTGTCTCTTCCCGCCCAAACTCACCCCTTCCCTGTGTTCATCATTCTAACAACCAATTTGTACTTCCTAATCCCTTCATTTTTTTTCACCCAACTCCCCTTCCATCTGGCAACCAACAAAAAGTTCTCTGTATCTATGAGTCCGTTTCTATTCTGCCTCCTCATTTTGTTTGTAGATTCAATTGTTGATAGATATGTATTTATTGTCCTTTTTATTGTTCATATTTTTGTTGTTGTTCTTCTTCAAGAAGACCCTTCAACATTTCATGTAATACTGGTTTGTTGGTGATGGACTCCTTTAGCTTTTTCTTGACTAGGAAACTCTTGATATGTCCATCAATTCTAAATGACAGCTCTGCAGGATAGAGTAATCTTGGTTGTAGGTCCTTGCTTTTCATCACTCTGAATATTTCTTGCCACTCTCTCCTGGACTGCAAAGTTTCTTTTGAGAAATCAGCTGACAGCCTTATGGGAGCTCCTTTGTAGGTTAATTAACTGCTTTTCAGATTCTTTCTTTGTCTTTAACCTTTTGCATTTTGATGATGATGTGTCTTTGTGTGGACCTCTTTGGGTTCCTATTTGGAACTCTCTGTGCTTCCTGGATTTGTGTGTCTGGTTCCTTGACCAAGTAGGAAAGTTTTCTGTCATTATTTTTTCAAATAGGTTTTCAATTTTTTTCCCTCTTGCTTCTCCTTCTGGCACACCTATGATGCAAATGTTGGCATGCTTGAAATTGTCCCACAGGCTCCTTTTACTATGCCCATTTTTTTGGATTCTTTTTTCTTTTTGCTGTTCTGATTGGGTGCTTTTTGCTTCCTTATATTCTAGATCGATGGCTTGCTTCTTGGCTTTACCTACTCTACTATTGAGTCCCTCTAAATCATTATTTATTTCAGTTAGTGGACCCTTTATTTCTGACTGGTCCTTTATTATGCTCTTGAGGCCCTCACTAAGTTCTTTGAGTATCCTTATAAGCAGTGTTTCGACCTCTGCATTTGTTAGGTTGCTTATCTCCATTTTATTTAGTTCTTTTTCTGGAGTTTTGTTCTATTCTTTCATTTGGGACATGTTTCTTTGTCTCCTCATTTTGGCTGCCTCCCTGTGTTTGTTTCTCTGTATTAGGTAGAGCTGCTATGTCTCCTAGGTTCCCTAGGGTGGTCTGTGTAGGTATCCTGTAGGGTCCAGTGGCACAGCCTTTCTAATCACCCAGCTGGGCCTCGAGGTGCACCCCTCGTGTGGACTTTATACCTTCTGTTGTAGTTTAGTCTTAATTGCTGTTGGCATGTCAATGGGAGGGTTTTACTCACGCTGATTGGCTGCAAAGACTGGCTGTGCTCATTAACCACTGGCCTCTGACTACCTTGGATGATCAGCTGTGCAGGGGCCCACCACACAGAGCAAGTCTTACTTCAGCAGTGTTTGGGTATGCCCTGAGTCCATTCCTTGAGTGTGTCACTTGTGGAGGTTGTTGGGTGGTAGTGCTTCGACATGGTCTGAAGCTGTCCATTGGGTGTGCTGGCTCTGGGGCAAGGTCAACCACTGCCTGCGTTCTATCTGGGGCCATCAGGCATAAGCTACAAAGTGATCTGCCAATGGCTGCTTCTAGTGCTGGGCCTAGGGCCACTTAGTGAGAGGTATGGGGCTCACTGTAGCCAAATGCTTCTTGTTTGAGAGAATTTAGGAAAATCTGAAGCAGGATCCAAAACCGGCCAATCTTATGCTAAAGCCACGGGAAACAGCTCGGGTGGGCTTGGAAGTTGGTGTGGCAGGGCCTCAGGGAATCACCAGGGCAGGGCAAACAGTTTGAGCCAGGTTGCTGGAGCCCCAGACATGGCGGCTGTCTACCTGCCCTGTAGGGGAAGGGTTCACCAAAGAAACAATGGCCTACACCATCATGTCTGTCCAGGAGAAAGCTGCCTCTCCTGTCCTCGCCCCAATGCTAAACAACTCAGTTGTTCTCCATATGTCTCTGGTGCCTTTCAAGCTGCCTCCCTTTCATGCTAGAGCTCAGAGGGAGGGGGTTTGACAAGTCTGTATGCAGACCCTTTAAGAGGAGCTGCCTGGGACTTCAGAAGCCTCAGCCTCCCTCAGCCTCAGTTCCCACTGGTTTTTACATTCAGAAGTTATGGGGACTTCTCTTCCTGTCACTGGAACCCTGAGCTGGGCACCTGGTGTGGGACAGGGACCCCTTGCTCCTTAGGAAGGACTTTTACAGTTAAGGTGTTCCTCCTGATTTGTATTCACCACACGCGGGTGTGGGACCAGCCCATTCACACCTCCACCCCTCCTACCAGTCTCGTGGCTTCTTTAATTTCGTGGTTGTAGGACTTCCATTCAGCTAGATTTCAGGTGGTTCTGAAGGATGGTTGTTCTGTAGTTTAGTTGTAATTTTGATGTGGTTGTTTACTTATGCTGCCATCTTGACCAAAAGTCCTAAGTTTCAATATTTAAAAAATAACTTGTCATAACAAGAACCAAGAAAATCTCATCTCGAGGAGAAAAGATCATCAGTAATAAAGGCTTAGCACCCAGCTGACACAGACATTGAATGATCTGACAAGGATTGTGCATCCACTATAATAAAATTGCTTTCATGAGCAATTACAAACATGCTTAAAGAGAATCTATAAAAAGAAAGTCTTGGCAAAGAAACAGAAGATATGAAGAACACAATAGAGATGTTATATCTGAAAAAAATCAATAATTAAAATAAAAGGCCCAATAGATGCATAGGCTCAACAGCAGAATGGAGAGAATAAAAGAAAATAATGAACATAAAGAGAAATAAAGAACATAATTTTGTCTCCTGTAGGATGGTAACAAAAGGTCTAACATTCATGAAATCAGAACCCTAGAAGCAGAAGAAAAAGAATTAAACTTTAACTACTCAAGAAACTCTGGTAAAATTTTCCCTAACCTGGCAATAGTCATAAGCCTACATATTCATGAAATCCAATTAGGATAAATCCAAAGACATCCACACAAAGACACAGCAAAACCCAACTAAGGGGGAGAAAAAGACAAAGAAGTTCCTTGAACGCACGAGACAAAAATGTTACATCACCTATAGAGGGAAAACCCACTTGGATGACAACGGGCTTTCTCATCAGAAACTGGGAAGTCAGGACAGAAATGACACATTTTTCTAGTACTGAAAAAAAAAAAAAACGGTCAATACTGAATTCTATAACTGGTGAAATTATTCTTTAAAAAATAAGAGGAAATAAGACATTCTCGGGTGAAGAAATGGTAAGGAGATTTATCACAAGCAAACTTCCCGTGAATGAATGGCCACAGGAAGTTCTCAGCCCAGAAAGGGGGAATCTTGGAACAACAGGAAGGAAGGGAAGAGGGAAAATGTGGAGACTAGTACAGTGCCGAGGACAGAAAGGCACAACTGCCCAGTTATCCTTCTTCTATGAGCACTCACCTCACATTATTTTCAAGTTTGAGGGCAACAAAAACATATATGATCAGTGAATGATGGTTTGTGACTATGTTGTTAATATACTAACATATTAAGAAATAGAGATAAATTAAAAATTTACTTTAACTTCCAGAGCTCATGCAGTGACAAGAGATGTCTGAATTCTATGAAGAACTGTGGGACCTGTGCTGGCCAGTGTTGCTCAGTGGGTTGGAGCATAGTTTCATATACCAAAAGGTTGAGGGTTCAATTTCTGGTCATGGCACATACCTAGGTTGAGGGTTTGAACCCCAGTCATAACATGTACAGGAGCCAACTGATCAATGTGTCTCTCTCACATCGATGTTTCTCTCTCCATCCCTTTCCCTCTTTCTAAAATCAATAAACAAAAATCAATAAACATATTCTTGGGTGAGGATTAAAACTAATTAATTAATTAAATAAATCTTGAAATATTTATAATTTTCTTAAAAAGAACTATGTCACACTTGGAGAGATCAAGACAACCCAGAAGAGCCATGAATTAGAAAGCCAAATGAGCACTAAAAAATGCCTAAACACTGCTCTTTTTTTTTTTTTTAGGGATCAACTGAGTTACAAAGTGATTTGGTTGACGTCCAAAATGTAGTTCCACATTTTTAAAGAAAGGAAACGGAGTCTGTCACTCAATAGGTCACTTTCACAGCGCCTGGCACCAAAAAACAGAAACAGTCCTGCATTCAGGTGGACATGCAGAGGGTAGCACCTCCCTCACAGGTTTAAAGGAGGCAGTGGCAAGACCCGCGGTGTCCCTGTCTAATACACCAGCCTTGCGCTGCAGACACTGGAGGAACCATGGGTGGTAGAAGGTGGAGAGGACCTCACCAAGTGCCTACTCTGCCACAGCCGCTGTGCTGGGTGGACGTCTACTAGGAATGCACTACTCTGTCTTAGGTCATTTCTCAGCAACTATGGATCTGGTGATTAAGAAGCAGTTCAACACCTGAACACATGCTCGTAGCTTTCCCAGGGATAAATTCACCTCCCTCTTTCACAGCATAGTCCAAAGGGACCCTCAGCTTCTTGGTATTGGCAGAAGATCACATTCGTCCACAATATGGATGACATCCTCTTAGTTGGATCTGATGGGTAGTAGGTGGTGTGTGCTCTGATTGCCATGGTTTGCACTGCACGTGGTGGGGAGGAAAAGGGAATTGAAAGATTCAGGACCTGTCAAAGCAGTGAAGTTGCAGAGGTCCTGCTCCCAGGGACCTGACAGGACATGCCTTGCATAGGAAAACACATGGCATTGCACCTGGACCCTCCGAATGCTAAGAAGGAGGCACAACTCTGCTCATGTGTCTTCAGGCTGTGGAAGCAGCATATATCTAGCATACTCACGATGGATTTGTCACTTTTCTGGTGACTGAGAAGACTATGGATTTGAATGGAGCCCAGTTCCAGAACCCTGCAGCCATGATTGTGAGACTGGCCAGACCCTATGGGTTCATGTCATTGCATCATCTGTAATAGAGAGCAAGACACCATTTAGAAAGCTGCTCCTGACATGCCCTTGGGTGCCAGTAACAATTGAATGACTGACAGGAAGACATCAAGGTTCTTTGTGCCAGGAACAACCCATGAGGAGGGTACTGTTATTCCCACCATGTCATGAGGTTGCAGTCCATTGAGAGATGAGAGTGGTAAACCTGGGGCTATAAGCAGAGGTTACAGAGGGGAAGATAAGTCACACAAAGATGTTAGACACCTACTTGTCACAGGGATGCCTCTCCCTCAACTGTCCTCTACTGGGTCATGTCTGGGTGGAGTATGTTCTAGAACAGCGATGTTCCACAGCCTTGCTCAGGGTCTCTGAGAGAAAATGACCTCCATGAACAGACAGGTGGGTAATAAATAGGACAATACATTTTTCTGTGAAAAAAAAAAAGATGAAATTAAGGTTCTTGAGATGGAACATTACCCTACATTATTTGTGTGTCCAATGTATTTGCAGGAGAGACAAAATGGTCAGAGTCAGTGGTAGGAAATGAGGTGATGGAATGAGCAGGTTGCCATGGTGGAGGGAGGGGTCAGGAACCAAGAACCACAGGCAGCTTCTGGAAGCTGGGAAAGGCAGGGAAATTTTCTCACCAAGGAGCTGCAAAAGCACACAGCCATGAAGACACCTCGAGTGTAGCCCAGTGAGACTGACTGTGTACTTGTGACCTCCAAAACTGGAAGATAACAAAGTATGTGGTTTAAGCCAGGACGTTTCTGGTAATTTGTTACAGCAGCAATAGGAAACCAACACAAATACTTCAGCATTCTTTTGGTTAATGCTTGAATAATATATCCTTTCAACTCTTTACTTTTAACAGATTGGAACCATTGTATTAAAATGAACCTTGGCCTGGCCTGGTGGTTCAATTTGTTGAGTGTCATCCCATATACCAAAATGTTGCAGGTTGAGTTCCCAGACAAGGCACATACCTAAGTTGTGGGTTTGATCCCCAGTCAGGGCACTTGCAGGAGGCAACAGATCTCTCTCTCTCTCTCTCTCTCTCTCTCTCTCTCTCTCTCTCTCTCTCCCTTTCCCTAAAAAAAAAAAAATCAATTAAACATATCCTCAGATAAGGAGTTTTAAAAATTAATAAAATAAAAATTTAAATGAACGTCTAGTTGGGTCTTATTTGTTGTTAATCCAGTCCTAAATCTCTGCCATTTAACTGAGTTTTTACCATTTACATTTAATGTAATTATCAAGAACGTTGTTTTCAGGTATCCCATTTTATTGTTTGTTTCTGCCTGTGATCTCTATTATTTTATTATTTGCTCTTCAGTTTTTCCTTTACTGCCTTTTTTTTTTTTTTTTTTTTTTTTTTTTTTTTGCTTTTTGTATGATTTTTTAGTATTCCATTCTAATTTATCTACTGTTATTCTAACTATAACTCTTTGTATGTTGTTTTTGAAGTGGCTGTTGTAGGTATTATAATATAGACATCTAATTCCACAGATTCTACACAGAGGTAGTATTTTACCTCTTCAAGGAAATGAAGAAGACTTACAACTGTGTAGATCATTTTACCACCACTGTATACTGTAAGTGTCATATATATTATATCCACAAACATTAAACCCCAGCAGACTATGTTACCATTTTTGGTTTCAACAGCCATAGATATTTTTTTAAACTCAAGGAGAGAAAAATATGCTGTTACATTAACTTAAATATTTATTTAAATATTTTTGTTCTTCTTTTCAAGTGTTCCTCTAGAATTATTTCTTTTCTGCCTGAATAACTTATTATCTCTTTTAAACAGGGTTGCTGGCAACAAATTAGCTCAGCGTTTCTTCCTCTAAGAATGACTTTATTTTGCTTCCATTCCTGAAGAATAGATCCAGAGGAATGCCAGGTTGATGTTTATTTTCTCTTAGGACTTTAAATCTTCCAACTCTGTGATTTCTGATAGAAAATCTGTAATCATTTTTATTATGTTTCCTCTGTATGTAATGTGCCATTTTTCTCTGGGTGTTTTCAATTTTTTTTACCGGGTTGGTGATGATCATGAAATGTGTAGTCTTGGTTTTTAAAGACTTGTAGCTGAGGACCATGGACATGTGAATTTATGACTTTCAACAAATTTGTGAAATGGTCAGCTATCTATTTCTTTTTTTTTTAATCTTTATTGTTGGATGTAAAATGTATTACAGATGTTCCACATTTTCCCCCCATTGACCCCCTCCTCCCCAGTCCTGCCCCCCTCCCGCCTTTTTCCACACTGTTGTCTGTGTCCATTGGTTATGCATATAAGTTCTTTGGTTTATTTCTTCCCACCCCCCCAACCCCTTTCCCTTTGAGGTTTGTCAGTCTAGCAATGAATTTGTACTTCTTAATCCCTTCACCTTTTTCACCCATTCCCCCAACCCTTCTCCCAACTGGCAACCAACAAAATGTTCTCTGTATCTTTGAGAATGTTTCTGTTCTACCTGTTCATTTTGTTTGTAGATTCCATTGTTGATAGATATGTATTCATTGCCATTTTGTTTGTTCATATATGTTATCTTTTTCTTCAAAAAGACCCTTCATCATTTCATATAATAACGGTTTGGTGGTGATGAACTCCTTTAACATTTTCTTGTCTGGGAAAGTTTCTATATGGCCATCTATTTCTTCAACAATGTTTTGTTTTCATTGATATTTTTATCCTTTGCTGGGAGTTCAGTGACATAAACTGTCTCGCAGGTCCCGAGTCTATTGGTGTTCATTTTTAAAATCTGGATTGCCTCCAACATGGGCACTTACCCAATGCTGAAGAAGGCGGTCACAGTGTGATAAAGAGGAGGGCACTGAGGGCAAAGCAATAACTCAGATGATTTGAAAAGGGGAGATGAAGAAAAAGATGGTTCTGACTTACACAAACAGGAAGTCAGGGGAGGGAAGTGTGTGGGGAGAGAAAATGCACAGTTCCAGTAGAGCCATGCTTTCTTCTGAGCAATGATCTTCTCAGCATCTCCCCATGCTCCCCCTGCCCTGGTGTCGTCCTCCCTATCAAAGCCCCACTGACTTCTCCAGTCATCAGGAAGAGAGTGGAATAGACTACCTTCTGAACAGCGTCCCCGACCCATCACAACACTCAAGATGTCTTATCTGTATCAGCTCACCAGCCTCCTTCCTGGTCCTTCAATGCAGGCCCCAGACCTTTCTCCAGTGTGCTCCTCTCTCCACCTCCTGAGGACTCTTCCTATAACCGGAGCTTCACTGTCCACACCCTCCACCAGTTTCCATCTGCAGAAAATATCCAAATTGCACCATCTGCTCTCCAAGTCTGTGAAGGATCAGGCTTGAGTTAAACTCACCAGCTGCAGCAAACATGACTCTTCCCTCCACACCAAGCCACACACAGAAACTGAGCTGTTTAAAAATCCCCTGCCTTTCCAGCCGCTCCCTCACCCCATCTGAATGAACCCAGCCACCTCCTTCCCAACCTGCTGGACCAAGACCTGTCCTGTCTCATCCCACTCAACTAAAAGTGTAGTTTGTGTTATAGGTTTGTGAGAGAGTTAAAGGAGAAAACCACATCCATGACTTAAAATATTGACCAACATGCCATCCAGGGGTCAGGTGAATGTTGGCGTTTTATTGCGGAGAGCCTTAGTTATCTATAGAGGCTGCCTGCATGACATTTTCACATGGTGGTAGCCTTTTCATATTTATTCACTTATTTCTGTTCATCCTCAGCTGAGGATATTTGTTCCCATTGAGTTTTTGAGAGAGAGTGGAAGGGAGGGAGGAAAGGTAAGAGAGAGACACATCAATAGAAGCTACCAGCTTGTGCCCTGACAGGGGCCAGGATCAAACCTGCAATCGGGGTATGTGCTCTTGACCAGGACTCGAACCCATGACACTTTAGTGCACAGGACGATGCTCTAACCACTGGCCAGAACAGTGGTAGCATTTTTGTTGTTGTTGTTCTCACTTGAGGACTTTTTTTTCCATTTTTTTGTTCAGATAGAGTGGGAGGGAGAGAGAAGATGAGAGAGAGAAACATCAACATGAAAGGCGCACATCAAATGGCTGCCTCCCACACAACCCCACCCAGGGCCGGGGATGAATCACAACCCAGGTACGTGCCCTTTGCCGGACACAGTGGTCCGCGGGCCAACGCTCTAACCACTGAGCCAAACCGGCCCGGGCAGTGGTAGCCTTTTTATTTATTTTTTTATTTATTTTTATTTTTTTTATCCTCACCCGAGGACATTTTTCCATTTTTTGTTCAGGTACAGTGAGAGGGAGAGAGAGGAACAGAGAGAGAGAGAGAAACATCGATGTGAAAGGAACACAACGAGTGGCTGCCACCCGCACAACCGACCAGGGCCGGGGACAAACTGCAACCGAGGTACGTGCCCTTAGTGGGAACCGAACCCAGGTCTCTCAGGACCGCAGGCCGACGCTCTAAGCGCTGAGCCAAACAGGCCAGGGCAGTGGTAGCCTTTTTAAAACTGAAATCTTTTCACACAGTCTGTTGCTTAAAATTTTTCCCATTGCCTTCAAGATAAAATCTAAAATATTTGCACTGTGCTCCAGACCCTGTGTGAGCAGGCTGAGCCTTCACCTGACTGCTCTCATGTCTGAGAACAGGTCGAGATCTTTCTGGTCAAGGATGCCCCCCAGTCCCCACCTCTGGGCTGGTCCCTGCTCATGCCTTGGGCCAGTTCACCCTCAAGAAGAAACCTCTCAGCCAGGACCCAGGATGCATGTTGTCTTCCTGTTATTGAACCTCGTTGTCTTGTTTTCTTTTTCCTCTCAACTCACACACAAGACTAAGTGAACTGTCTGTGGTCTACACATCAGTAATATCTGTCTTCGTTCATTTTTGCCCCATGAGTCCAGAGAAAGAATCTGTCAGCTTCAACCATGACTCCCCAGAGCCTGGCCAATGACTGGACAGAGTAACTGCTCAGTAGATATTGCCTGACGGATTGCCCAATGAGAGAAGGAAGAAATTCTCATTTACGTAGGCTCAGGAAAGGGAAATGTGTTACCCAAGGTCACGGACGTTCTAGAAAAGGCAGAGTCAGAATTGTAGCAGAAATTGGGGGGGGGCTCCCCTCCTGCCTGTTTTTCTGCCCTCATGTCCTGGGTCAGGTGTCACTCTCTGGATTTGGGTTTGGCGTGAGGTGGAGGCAGAGCATGGGGGGTCCGCTGAGACTCAGGTCAGTCTGAAAGGTCCCAGAACCCACTGTCTCCTCTGGCACATCCTTCAGGGAGGGGCTACTTCCCTTCCTGTGAGGTCACTGATGAGGAACCCACGACATGTCACACGAAGCCTGGACCCTGTCACATCCCATGTGTCGGTCTGTCTCCCAGACTCTGTGAATTTTACTCGTCATCTACACACTGAGGACCATGGGAAGAAGCACCATGACTGTGACCCTCACTGCCCTTCTATGCCTCTGTGAGCTATGGAGAAATACGGAGTGATGGGGCCCCCTCCCCTCTTATGTCCTCCTGTAGAGAAACCCCAGGACTCAGGACACACCCTGGGGGCAGGACCTCGGGGGAGGAGAGGTGTGCTCAGCCCCAGGTCTGCCCCAGAGCTCAGGGGCCCAGACCAGGCCTGGAGCTTCTACGTGTGGTTGGGGATGGTTCTCACAGGGACTCTCTTCCAGGGCTGTGTCGGGGCCCATGGGACCAGGTACAGGCAGGTGAGTGCTCCCCCAGACCTCCTGCTTCAGCACAATGACCACCCCTCTTCCCAGGGCAGCTGGGGGAGACACAGGGTTTGGAATCATGGTGACCCACCTGGGAGGGGCCATGGAGTGACAGGGAAATGGTGGGGAGAAGGGATCCCCTGATCTGATTCCTTTCCAGAAGTTGTCCCCAAACCCTCCATCTGGGCTGAACCAGGCCCCATGGTCACCACGGGGAGCCTTGTGACCATCTGGTGTCAGGCGTCTCTGCAGGCTACTGCCTATAGTCTGAATAAAGAGAGGGGCTCTGAGCCCTGGGATATGAACACCCCACAAAACTTCAGCAACAGGACCGGTTTCCTCATTGAATCCTCCAGCTCACAGCATAAAGGGCCCTACGAGTGTGCGTATTACACCACTGAGCACAAACTCTCAGAGCGGAGTGACCCCCTGCTCCTGGTGGTGACAGGTAAGGGGAACACGAATGTTCTCTCCACTGGGGCCCCTCACACCCAGGGAATGAAGTGAGGGTTAGGGGGACCTCACCCCACAGTCCACACTGGGAACATGTGGGTGATGGTCCCTGTAACACGGATCCCCCTTCTCCCCCAGGAGTGGACAGAGCACCCTCCCTCTCAGCCCAGCCAAGCCCTGTGGTGGCCTCAGGAGGGAGCGTGTCCCTCGTGTGTAGCTCACAGGACACATCGGGCACTTTCCATCTGCTGAAGGAGGGAGGAGCTGACCCGCCCCGACACATGGAATCGCAATCGAGGTCCAGTGCTGGGAGGACCTATGCCCAGGCCACCTTCCCTGTGGGCCCCGTGAACACCTCCCATGGGGGGACCTACAGATGCTATGGTTCCCTCAGATCCTACCCCAATCGGTGGTCACACCCCAGTGACCCTCTGCGTCTCCAGGTCACAGGTGAGAGGACAGACCCCTGTGCAAACTCATCTGTTTGCTGGGCCCAAAATGACTGGCCCAAGCTTGTGCCACAGAGCGCTGAGTGAGTGTCTGTGGGGAGGGGGGAGGGGAGGAGCTCCATGTTGGTCTTCCCTCAGCCACTTCCTGGATAATGCTAGAGAAAAGTTAATTCTTCTCAGGAAATGAATTTCTCTAATTACAAAGGACAAGCTAGCTGCTTGGACACTGTGTGTGTGGGTGCTTGTATGTGTGTGATGTGTGTTTGTGTGCATGTGTGTGTGCATGCATATGTGATGTGTGTTTGTGTGTGTATGATGTGTTTGTCTGCATGTGCCTGTGTGTGCATGTGTACCTGTGCATGTCCCTCTGTGCTGGGGACACCAACAGTGTCTGAGCTCTCCTCCACAAGCCTTCAAGGAGCTGCAGTGAAGTCAGGAAAAGAAGCCACAACCCCGGTTCAAATCCCAGCTCTGCCCCTTCCCACTGGGATCTCAGACAATCTGTTCCTCCCGAGTCCCAGGTTCATGGCTGTGGAGCAGGACTCCCGCCACCCCCCTCACAGTGCCCTCAACACGCAGCTTGACCCTGGTTACAGCTCAGGAAGGACACAGCCCTCCCCCTGCCCTTCCCAGACACACACTCTCCATGTGCACACAGGCCCCACTGCGGTGGGAGGGGTGTCAGTCTGCAGAGTGGGAGGTGGGTGTGGGCTGGACTGGAGAGGGGTGGCTCGCCCAGCACCCACCTCTACCTGCCGTCACACCCCAGATTCCCCCGCAGCTCCTGGTCTAGGTGAGGGGACCCTGCCCCTGTCCTTTCTGTGCTCAGTCAGCTCAGAGCCCTGTCCGTAAGAAAGTCGGGGACAGTAAGACATGAGTGTTGGAGGAGATTCCACAGAGGAGGGTCCAGTCCCTGAGTGGGCAGAAAGGGACAGGGTCTCCCACTCCGGAACCCCCTTTCTGAACCTCAGCAGAGATAAAGGGTAGGGAGGGCGGGGTGAGGTGTGTGGAAATGAGCAGGAAGGTGATCAGACCGAGCAGAGAAGTCAGACCCCCACCACTCACCTGCTCAGGTCTTCATCCCAGAATCAGGGCCTCCGGGGTCCCAGCCCCCACTGCACACTGTCCTAGAGAGAGAAGCATCCCCCATAAGCATCACTCTGCTCAGCCGGCCCCTGTTACAGAGAATAGCTTCTTGTTAATAGGAAGTCTTCTTATCACACATGATTTCAAATGAGGTTTATTCATGAACTTCAGAAGCATTTTGATAGGTGTTTGTAAAACTGAGTAAACGTATAGCCTATTTTAAGAACTGCTCATCTATTGTTGTGATTTGTGAGTAAGCTGTTTGATTCCTTGATGTTTTCTAAATAATACCAAGTACACACAGGAAAGCTATTGGTTTGGGCATATTTGTTTCATGACCTGTTTGCTTCCCAAAGATTCTCTCTCTTTTGGTTGATCCCACTGATATACTGATAAAATCATAGTAGCCACAAGTCAGATATTTCACTTCTTACTCCATGTTGTATACCTATTTTTCGCACTCCAAATTTATACGACAAGATGAAAGAGGAGAATGTTCCAGAGCTTCCCCTCCAGAAAACAGCGTAATTCACGCGCAAATCATTTCAAGGCGAACTCATTAAGGTATTTATATTTTATACCAAAAGCACTATTGGCCTCATAGTCTCAATCTTTCTGTTTCATTAGGATTTATTGGGAATGCTTATTTTTTTTAGAGATACACACCTCCTAGAAATGATCTTTTCTCTGATTTATAAGCACACTGCAAAGCCTTCTTGGTTCCAACCATTTGGATGTCAACCAACTGAAGAACATGTGTCGTCCATGTGCACTTTCTGAATGGTGTGACTTGATATTTAGAATTTTTGCATGGATCTTTGTAATTAGGATAGGTTGATAATTTTTTTCTTACATCCTGGTTTTTATAGCAAAATGGGCAACAGACTGACGTAATTTCCTACTTTTTGTGCTCATGAGGTATAATAATTTGGGGGATTTTCTGTTACTTAAAGTTTGCAAGTGACCTCTGTTGTCTTTAGAGAGAAAAAAAATCACATAATTGGTACCTGTATACCCGTATTTTTCATCTGGTAAATGTATCTATCATTGTAGGTATTCATTAGTATATAAAAAGTGAATTCATAAAACAATAATTACATGAAAATTTCCAGGTGATGATTAAAATGCAGACCCTCGGAGAGGAGGGACCTGGCTGGGTGGGGTGAAGGACTCCCAGCCCCAGACTTTCACCCCTTGTGATCCTGACATGCAGGAGCCCCTGACCCCAAGCCCTCCTCCTTGGACCCTGGTTTCCAGTTGCTGAGCACGTGAGATCTGTCAGCTGTAGGGCAATAGGTTTGTGGGGTCTCGACTCTCAGACTGAACACAGAACACAGCTCTTAACTATTTCTGAACTGAGATCACTTTTTCACTTGTCATGTGCTCTTGGGCTCAGCTAACTCTTATCGAGGTGACTCAGAGCAGGTTGTGAATTCAGACATGACAGGGTCGCTGATGTCAAGGGGAGCTGGGAGTCCAGGGTTGAGATCAGAATCCGGGAGATTTGGGTATGCACTGAATTCTGAGACCTCTTTACCCACAATTCTTATCTTTCCATCCCCAGGACTACACAGTGGAGAATCTCATCCGAATGGGCGTGGCTGGATTGGTCCTGGTGGTCCTGGGGGTGCTGCTATTTCAGGCTCGGAACAGCCCGGGAAGGATCCAAGACGCAGCCAGGACTTAATCACAGGAGGGAACAATGCACTGTTCAGAGTGGGGTGCCTTGGAGCACATCTGATGATCCCAGGATGTGGTGAATGAACATCTGGACCTCAGTTGGGAAACTCTCTGCTGGGAATGTCCAGGGGAGGAGAGGTGCAGACAAAGTTTGGGTGCAGGGGAGAGGATATCTTGTTCCTGTGGATGACGCCTCCCCCTTCAGACTGTGGTGCTCCTCCTCCCTGTCATCCCTGACTCTCCTCCACTGCCCTCTGTTCTCCCCTATGACATGAGGGTGCGTCCCACATGGCTGGTTTGGATTCACATCTATGCACCCTTCATGCTGGATCACAGTCATACACACACAGTGTGGTGTCATCATAACACTGGGAATATTATAACCCATGAAGAACAGAGTACCGGTTTCATGCGACATTGAGGGTGAACGTCACAATTATGCAGCTCAGTGACAGAAACAGGACACAGAAGATCACATTTTGGGTGATTCCATGGACATTGTATACAATGTCCAGCAGCAGGAAACTCAAGGAAACAGAAATCAGATTGCTTTGTCTGCAGTGAGCTACAAGAGAGACTGGAGATTGACTGCTTTGTGCTTTTTTTGTTTTTTTCCTTGAGGAGGTTTATTAAAATTTCTTGAACCTAGATAGAAGTTGTGGTTGAGACATTGTGTCTTTACCACATTCCAGTGAGTTTTATTCTTTAAAAGGGTCAGTTTTGTGTCATGTGGATTTTGCATCAATAAAATGAAATTCAGGTAAAACAGACATGGTTTCCCATAGATTCCTGTACCTTAGAGGTTGCACCACGTCCGTGTGGAGTTTTATGGGAGGCATGACTCCCAGTAGGTCAGAGATGCACTAAGTGCCTTAGTGCTTAGGGACCAACCCACTGATGGAATCTCCACCTTCACCCTTGACTTCGGCTGAGCATAGGATCCACAATGAGCACCCTCATTCCTGCATCCTTTAGTCTGAGCTCAGCTGCTGTTCCACCAAGGATGCGCCATAGCTTCTGTCTTACCTTGTAGGCTGGGGAGGTATGTGTGAGGCTTCCAAGTAGCCCTTCCTACCATAATCTCTTATCCCCATGTCTTCACCGGGTCAGAGCAGTGGCATCAGAGTGAGACTCTTTATGTCTCACATCAACCCTCTGAGGCCAGGTTTCACAATTTCCTACAATGATGAAAGAGAGAGAGAGGAGAAGTTATGATGGCTAAGAAACATGTCCACAGGTCTTAAATGAAAACCTGTAAATTGTCTCCAACTCGTTGTTTCGCCCAAAGCATGGAGATGGAATAAACAGTATTAGACAGAGAGTTATAGTCTGGGGGCCAAGAGGCAGTGAGTGGGCTGAAATGACTCAGACGTTTTGATGGACAGTGGTGGACAGAAGCTGCTCTACCTCACGGAAACAAGGAATTAGGAGAGAGAAAATGTGAGAGAGAAATAAACCATCTCCTCCCCTGGACATTCTCAGCAGAGAGTTTCCCAACTGGGGTTCAGATGTTCTCTCACCATGTCCTGGGATCATCGGATGTTCTCCAAGACACCCCACTCCAAGATGCCCCATTCCCAGGGCAGATGGTTGGTGGTGTTTCCATCTGTGGGTCAGTTGACAGTGTTGTGAACATCTCCCTGACCCTCCTGTTCCTCTTGGGATCATCAGTCTTGTGATGGCCCCATTGGCTACTCCAGGCAACCAAGGCAAAGAGAGGGAGGGACCTCAATTCTTCACTCTCTTTCCCCCCACTTGGCGAACAAATCCCAAAGTTCTGAACCCGAGTCTTCTGTGTCCCGGTTCAGCTCCACAGTCAAGTTCAGTTGAAGACTCAAGATATCTTGTTGGTGCGGCCCCATCAGCCTCCTGTCTGGCCTCCTCCAGACTCTCACTCCCAACTGAGGTGTTTTATTCTCATGGCCTCAAAGTCACCCATCACTGACCATCCCCTGTACAAAAGCTTTCCACGGGTCTCCCCCTTCCTCAGCAACATCCATGTTTCTCCGCCTGACATTCCATGTTGCTGAAGATCAGGCTGAGCTAAACTCTCCAGTCCCATTGGAGCCAACTCTTTCTGCAAACCACACTCATCCCCGTGACACTCCTCTCTCCCCAGACACACATCACTGGAGTTATGACCACACTGTGTCTTGTCAGGGGCACCTCCCTGAGCCAATCCGAACAGAGCAGACTCCTTCCAAACCTCCTAGACCATGATAATGACCAAGAAGTCTTTCCACATCACCTCACTCAATTGTACCCGTGTTCACGTCATAGGTTTTGTGTAAGGGTTGCACCAGAAGTCCGCCTGCCCACTTAGAATATGATTGCCTCATCACCCGATGGCCTGTGTTGTTGGAGATTTATCACTGATTGTTATCCAAAGTCCTCCTACAGTCTATTCCCGACGGAGTGGTGTCTTCTCCAACCAACAACCTGTTCACATGTTCTTTCAGCGAAAAGTCTTTCATGACCTTAAAGATAAAACCCAAGAGTGTCTGCCGGGGGCAAAGTTCCTGTGTGACAAGGGCACAGAGCACCCGGATGACTCAGTTTTAAGAAGTCATGCCCTTACTGGCCCATGGTGCCCTCACCCCCCTTGTGCTGACCCCTGTCATGTCCTGGTCTCTCCTGCACCAGCAGGTCCCTACACTCTATGTTTGCTAGACGTCCACCAGTTATTGCTTCACTCTGTGCTCAGTTTTTCTCCTTCTCTACAACTTACCAGAACTACAACTGCATTACTCACTGTTTAAACATTTGCATTGTCTGATGTCACTCATCTGAGATCCATGTGTCCAGCAGGAAAATCAGTCATGTTTCCCCTAATGAATCTCGTGACTAGACAGGGAAACTTCTCAGTAAACATCAGCTGGTTGCCGGGATGGTGAAAGCAAGAAAGAAATTTGCATTTACGGAGTCTCAGGAAAGAGAACTGAATTGCCCAAGGACACACAGACTCTATAAGAGGCAGAAGCAAAATAGGAACCGAAGGCTGTGCTTCCTCCTCTCCTGCCCTGCTCCTCTGCCCTCGTGTTGTGGGACCGGCGTCGCACTCTGCATTTGGGTTTGACATGAGGTGGAGGCAGAGTGTGTGCCGGTCTACTGAGACTCAGTTCTGGTCTTCAAAGTCCCAGAACCTGCTGTCTCCTGGACCATCCTTTGGGGAGGGCGGAGTGAGGCTGATGAAGAATCTGTGATGTGTTACATGAAGCTTGAACCTTCAATCAGCCTTCTGGGCTCTGTGGACATTATACTTCATCTGCACCCCTGGGGACCATGGGAGAAATCACCATGACCCTGACGCTTATGGTTCTTCTGTGCTTCGGTGAGTTTGGGGGAAACTGAAGGATGGGGTTTCCTCCCACCCCGGGTCCGAGTCCCAGTGAGTCCTGAGAATCAGGAGGCTCCGTAGGGGCAGGACTTCAGGGGAGGAGAGGTGTGCTCAGTCCCGGGTCCAACCCCAGGGTTCGGGGGTCCAAACCAGGTCTGGAGCTTCCGTGTGTGGTTCAGATCATTCTCACAGGGACTCTCTTCCAGGGCTGTGTCGGGACCCGTGGGACCAGGTACAGGCAGGTGAGTGCTCCCCCAGACCTCCTGCTTCAGCACAATGACCACCCCTCTTCCCAGGGAAGCTGGGTGGAAAACAAGGTTTGGAATCATGGTGACCAATCTGGGAGGGACCTTGGAGTGACAGCTGGGGACACACAGAGGGAGAAGGGCTCCCCTGACATTTTGAATCTGATTTCTTTCCAGAAGTTGTCCCCAAACCCTCCATCTGGGCAGAGCCAGGCCCCTTGGTCACCACGGGGAGCCCTGTGACCCTCTGGTGTCAAGGGTCTCTGCAGGCTGCTGCCTATGGTCTGTATAAAGACAACGGCTCTGCGCTCTGGGATATAAAGCACCCACAGAACTCCAGCAAAAAAATGAGTTTCCCCTTCCAATCCATGAGCTCACACCACGCAGGGATATACAAGTGTGCGTACTACACTACTGAGAACAGGTGGACAGAGAAGAGTGACCCCCTGCTCCTGATGGTGACAGGTAAGGAGGTCCCAGGTCCCCTCCCACCGTGGCTCCCCTCACACACTCAGGGATTGGAGGGTGGGCTCGGGGGGACCTCACTGCAGTCCACACCGGGGACATGGAGGTGATGGTCCCTTTAACAAAAATCCCCTTCTCCCTCAGGAGTGTACGAAGCACCCTCCCTCTCAGCCCAGCTCTGCCCCTGTCCTGACTGTCTGTTCAGGGCACTCGGGACAGGGTCCCCTGGTGGTGCTGGGGGCAGGAGAGGGTCCTGGGGCAGAGGCTGAGAAGGGGCAGAGGTACAGAGGGAGGGAGTGAGGAAGGCGGAGTGAGGGGCTCAGACATAGAGACACCCACCCGGGGGCACTGAGAGGAGCTGAGAAGGATCACAGACAGCGTCCCTGGGGAAGGACATGGTCCCTCAACTCAGGGTCAAAGGCATGTGGGGGGGGGAGGCTCTCGAAACATCACACCTTCCCTCCCCAGGAATGTACAGGAAACCCTCCCTCTCCATCCTGCCGGGCCCCTCAGTGCCCTGGGGAGCGAAAGTGACCCTGCAGTGTGGATCTGAGACCTGGTTTGACACCTTCCACCTGCACAGGGAGGGGTCTCTGGATCCCCCCCAACACCTTCCTGTGCAGAACATGACGGCAGCCTTTCAGGCCAACTTCACCATCAGTCCTGTGACCTCAGCCCACAGGGGCACCTACAGGTGCTTTGGATCACACAGTGCCTCCCCCTACCTGCTGTCACACCCCAGTGACTCCCTGGAGCTCCTGGTCTCAGGTGAGGACCCAAAGCCCTGTCCCTTGTGTCTTCATGGTCAGTTGAGGACACAGTTTCCAGGCCACCATGGGCTGGAATAGCAGTGAGGGGGTCACAGGAGGAGGGTCAGCCAGAGAGGATGCTCACCTCCCAGAGGGATGGAAAAAGTCAGAGCAACTCCCACCCCTGCCTCATCGTCACCCCCATCCCTGAGGCCCAGACATGTTCCTGGTGGGCAGAGGGAGGCTGGAGAGACTCGGACTGACCAGAAGGAGAAAAGGTCAGAGGCACCCATCCCGACCCCCTTCAGTCTCCACTCCTGTGTCCACACCCTGAGAGACCAAGACAAGAGTGGGGCCTAGCAGAGGCCTTGGGCCCCAGAGAGAACTAGCCCCCCTGCTGGGGCATGGCTGGTCTCCAGGGGGTGGGGCCTGGCAGACATACTGGGGACCCACAGGGCTTCAGGACTCTGAGGATGGCAGGTGTCAGGTGGGGTGGTCATGCTGTGGTCCCTCCCTGGGGAGGAGCAGCTGGGTGGAAATTGGAGCAGGAAGAACTCCCTCCCCTCAGCTCCCATCAGATCCCAGGAGGCTCTGAAAATTGGTGCCCCTGAGTGAGGCCCAGGGATGGCTCCGTGAGTGTCTGTGGGGAGGGGGTGGTGGGAGGAACTCGGTTTGGTCTTGGCTCACCCACTTTCTGGTAATGGCCTGAGGACAGTTCTTCTTCTTACTAGAACCCATTTTTCCAAAGATGCTTGAACAGTCTGTGCGTGTGTCTGTGTGTACATGTGTGTGCATGTGTTTGCATGTGTGTGCATGGGTACACCTGTGCATGTCCGTCTGTACTGGGGACACCCACGGTGTCTGAGCTCTCCTCCACAAGCCTTCAAGGAGCTGCAGTGAAGTCAGGAAAGAAGCCACAACCCCGGTTCCAATCCCAGCTCTGCCCCTTCCCCACTGGGATCTCAGATAATCTGTTCCTCCCGAGTCCTAGGTTCATGGCTGTGGAGCAGGACTCCCGCCACCCCCCTCACAGGGCCCTCAACATGCAGCCTGACCCTGGTTACAGCTCAGGAAGGACACAGCCCTCCCCCTGCCCTTCCCAGACACACACTCTCCATGTGCACACAGGCCCCACTGCGGTGGGAGGGGTGTCAGTCTGCAGAGTGGGAGGTGGGTGTGGGCTGGACTGGAGAGGGGTGGCTCACCCAGCACCCACCTCTACCTGCTGTCACACCCCAGATTCCCCCGCAGCTGCTGGTCTAGGTGAGGGGACCCTGACCCTGTCCTTTCTGTGCTCAGTCAGCTCAGAGCCCTGTCCATAAGAAAGTCGGGGATAGTAAGACATGAGTGTTGGAGGAGATTCCACAGAGGAGGGTTCAGCCCGTGAGCGGGCAGAAAGAGACAGGGTCTCCCACCCCGGAACCCCCATTTCTGAAGCTCAGAAGAGATAAAGGGCCGGGAGGGCGGGGTGAGATGTGTGGAAATGAGCAGGAAGGTGATCAGACCGAGCAGAGAAGTCAGACCCCCCCCACTCACCTGCTCAGGTCTTCCTCTCAGAATCGGATGTGTGCACACCTGACACACATTACAGAGGCTGCCTGGTTTCACCCCTTTGGATATTAACCCAACTGAAGACCACTTATCATCCATGTGTGAGCCCATATTTGGATATTTTACTTGGATATTTGCAATTAGGATAGGTCAATACTTTTTTTTACATCTTGGTTTTTGTATCAAAGTGAGATCACAGATTGACATAATTTTCTACTTTGATGCTCATTGAATATTTTAATTTGGGAATTCGCTCTATTACTTAAAGTTTGAACCGAGCTGTGGACTTCCTTGGTTATGACCTTTGATAAACAGTACGTTGGGGTTGTCTTTTCAGATAAAAACCACATAATTAGCCATCCATCCATGTAATCTTGCCAGACTTTCTAAAGTTTGTCCAAAACTAGAGAGAAGAGGATGACCCTTTCCCCAGCTGGGCATCCTACTGATCTAACTCCATTAACCACGACCTCCGAGCTCCTCTTCCCTCTGCCCCTTCCCCACACCCCACAGACAGGACCTCATTCCTTGTTCAAGGCCAGCCTTGACCATCAGGGTCCTGCCTCCCTATCACCTGTTGATTTCAACTCTCTGCCTGTCTGTCTGTCTCTCTCTCTCTCTCCACACACACACACACACAGACATACACACGCACATACATAATATATATAGGTACAGCAATATTAATCAGTATATATTATAATGGATAATTTACTCTTTATGTAAGAGTAGCTATATGTGTAGCTACACATACATATATACTTTACATATTTTATACTACACTATATTAATGCATACATATTATATACATTATATATACATGTATATCTGTACACGTAGTTACACATATACAAGGTGTGGAAAAAGTGGGATTACAATTTTTCTAATAGAAACTAATACAATAAGAAATAGAAATACAAGAATAAACTCTGTTTCTTGTACTCACAACTTTCAACCTACTTATATCCAACCCTGTATTGACTACTATAATAATACTACATTTCTGTATCTACAATTATGTCAAGAAATATTCATCCATATATCCATATTTTTCACCTGGTAAATACATCTACCATTGTAGGTATTTATGATTATATTAAAAAATAAATCCATAAAAGAATAAATAGAAGAACCATTTCAAGTGATGATTGAAATGCAAAACCCCAGAGATGAGAGATCTGGGTGAATGGGGTGAAGGACACACTGCCCCAGACTTTCACCCCTTTGTGCTACTGACTTTCAGGAGCCCCCTGACACCAATTTCTCCTGTGTGAATGATGGGTCCAGGCTGTTGAAAACGTGGGAACTCTCATGTGGAGGAAAATAAGCTTACAGGGTCTTGAGACTCAGACTGAACACAGATCACACAGCACTGAATCATTTCTGGATTGACATCATTTTTACACTCTGTCTGAGCATATGGGCTCAGATAACTCTTACCAAGGTGACAGATCAGGTTGTGAATTAAGACGTCACAGGGTCACAGGTATCAAGAGGCACTGGGAGCCCTGGGTTGACATCAGAATCCGGGAGATTTGGGTCTTCCCTGACCTCTGTGACCTCTTACCCACAATTCTTATCTTTCCATCCCCAAGACTACACAGTGGAGAATCTCATCCGGATGGGCGTGGCTGGATTGGTCCTGGTGGTCCTGGGGGTGCTGCTATTTCAGGCTCGGAACAGCCCGGGAAGGATCCATGATGCAGCCATGACTTAAACGCAAGAGGGAACAATGCACCGTTCAGAGTGGGGAGCCTTGCAGCACATCTGATGATCCCAGAATGTGGTGAATGAGCATCTGGACCACAGCTGGGAAACTCTCTGCTGGGAATGTCCAGGGGAGGAGAGGTGCAGAGGAGGTTTGGGTGCAGGACAGCAGGTGCCCTGTTCCTGTGGAGGACGCCTCCCCCATCAGACTGTGGTGCTCCCCCTCCCTGTCATCGCTGACTCTCCTCCACTGCCCTCTGTTCTCCCCTATGATGTGAGGGTCCATCCCACATGGCTGGTTTGGATTCACATCTATGCACCCTTCATGCTGGATCACAGTCATACACACACAGTGTGGTGCCATCATAACACTGGGTTTGTTTAAGAAACATAAAGAACAAACTCCTTTTTTTTACTTTATTGGCTTTAGAGAGAGGAAGGGAGGGAGAGAGAGAGAGAAATATCAATGAGAGAGAACATCGATTGGCTGCCTTCTGGATGCCCCCCACTGGGGAGCGGGCCCACAACCTAGGCATGTGCCCTGCCCAGGAATCAAACCAGCGACTTCTTGGTGCATGGGTCAACGCTCAACCACTGAGCCACACTGGCTGGACAAGAACAAACTCCTTAAAAATAAATAAATAAAAGTCCTGCTACCTGCTACCTGTGGTTGTGGGTCCAACCTACTGCAGGTCTCCCTTCCTCCTCCCTCTGTCACATGGCTTCTTCCTTTTATCCTTAGGACCTCAGTTCACCTAGATTTCAGGCAGTTCTGAGTGACAGTTGTCCTGTAGTTAAGCTGCAACTTTGCTGTGGGTGGGAGAGGATCTGAATGCGGCATCTACCTACTCTGCCACCTTGACCAGAATTCTTAATGTTTGATAACGAACCATCTTAAACTTTGCCCCCATTTTATTGAAGTTATGCATACATTTCATTTTTCTTTTCATTTTTCCTAATCATCACCCGAGGACATTTCTCTATTTATCTTCAATCACACTAGGAGGGAGAGAGAGAGAGAGAGAGAGAGAGAGAGAGAGAGAGAGAGAGAAAGAAACATTAACATAGAAAGACATATCAACTGGATGTTTCCCGCACGACCCCGACCAGGGCCGGGGATGAACTGCAACCGAGGTACGTGCCCTTGACTGGAATTAAACCCGCGACTCATTGGTCCATGGGCCGACCCTCTACCACTGAGCAAAACCAGCCAGTGTCATCCATTTCATTTTAAATAGTTGCTTTGTAATCATCCAGACCAGCTTTGAAATGATTGAGATTTATTTGTTTTGTATCATTTCATCAATCAGTTTGGAGGTTATATGTGCATTTCCAATCTGGATAGTACCAACATTGTTAATATTGGTATTTCTAGTTATAATTTTGAACCGTTTTTGACTCATTCTCTCCTTTAGGCAAAAAGAAGTCATCCCACATTAGTTGAACTCCTTGGGCCTAACTTAAAAATCTCTGTGTTTATGTCTCACACATATACACACACACTCCTAATATTTTCGAACCTTTCTTAAATTTAAATGTATATGGGAATGTATGTACAAATACACTTTTTCTACATTTATTTGTTTTGCCATTAGTTTTCTCACTTTTTACCTCACTGTCTCTACCTTTTGTCTATGGTACAGTTGGGTTAATGACTATTTATTTTGCTTTTAGTGAGTGTGTAAACAATAAAATATTTGAGACCTTGTATGTCTGAAAATGGTTGTATGCATGAACATGGACAATGAAGCTGGGGATGGGGCGGGGGCAAGCAGAGAATGGTGTCAAGGGAGTAAAATGACAAATATATGTAACAAAAAATAATAAGAAAAAAGATACTTGATACTTTTCCTTATTTCCAATAGAGGATATAATTCCAATGCAAGGAGGGGGATATTCTCTGATGGTTAAGGATCAACGCCCAAAACCCTCCTCATCTCTACTGAAGATGAAACCTGCTGTGGTGAATTTCACACATGAGACAGAGTTTGTGAATGTCAGATGGGCCCCATTTGTTATGCTAATTAACATCTGCCCTCAGACATTTTCACCATGGCCTTTTAATATAAATGTGGGTGAGTCTAGAATTCTTTCTTCACAATTCAGTATTTGAATATACTTCCCCCTTAACTTTTGGCATTATTTTTCTGCTTAACTGTGAATTCCCATCAATTTCCCCCTCTTGCCCTGAATATGGGGACACACATTTCATGTATACATTCATGCACCCTGGCCCTGCATGTTCCCCACACTTCTCTGTAAAATACACAACCATAGACCTCTAGGACTGTAGCAGACGTCATCCTCACTGCTTTCCCCCTGAACCTCACACTACCCTTTGGTCTCTCTCTCTCTCTCTTCTAATTTTTCATTCCAGTCTCTCTGCATTCTACAATATTTCCCCAACGTTGTCTTCCGATTTTATAATTGTATCTTCAGCTGTATCTTCTCCCTGTTGGAAAGAGTATCTTGAGTGTGCTAAATCAAGTTATTTTTATTTTGGGGACTTTTGACCTCTAAGATATTTGCATAATTCATTACTAAAATGTCACGTTCTTCTCTCATATAACCCCTATGGTTGTGCAAGAATTTCTAATTTCTCTTTTATTTTATCAGACATTTGAACATTCTTGAATTAAAATGACTTCCATGTGTTTCCAGAGCTCTGTTTCCTTGGACATAATAACTCCCACTGTGACGCTGTAGACACTCTTCCATAGCATCGTGTCTTCACTACGACTGCACATTTACAGGAATCTCCAACCTTTTATGTTCCCATGCTCACAGGTAGTTCTGACACACACTGAAAATCGCCTCTGTATTCAAGAAGAAGCGTATTATACAGTTGAGGAAGGACAGGAGAACTCCTCGTGCTTCTGAATCTCAGATTTTCCAGGTGCAATAGCTAATTCTACATCTTCCTACCCCTGCTGATTGAATCAGACAGATCTCTGCTCTTCCTCTCTCTCACCTTCCCTCCTGGCCCATCAAAGCCCATTTTCTGCAGAGGGATAGCTGAGCAAAACCACTTGGGTCAGCCTCTTGTTGGCAGTGGTAGTAGTAGTAGTAGTACAAGTGAGTGGATCCCAGAACACGTCAGAATCTTTTACTTTGGGATTTTTCCTGCCTGGGAAAGGCTGAAATGGATCATCCAGTTGAAAGAGATGTGGAGAATCCAGCTTGTGGATGGGTCTCTTCCCAGATGGAGTTGAGCAGGGCCTTTGGGGGCAGGGCTGGGGGTGCATCTTCACTGTTGACTGACACTTTCTGAAGCACATTTTGTGTAATACTGACAATACTGACAAAGCTCCATTGGGCTAACTAAAAGGATCCTCATTCTTGATCTATCACAATATGTTGAAATCAGCAAAACCATCCTCAAATGATTCACTTCCAAAAACCGAAGCAAAGAGGTCTGTGGCCCAACAACAACTGTTCCTCCGTGAGCAATGGGATCACTGGGCTTCAGTGTTTCTAATGATGATTCACGGCTGTCGCTGGCTGCAGCGAAAGGGTCAATACTCATGAGGGCAACGGAGAGTAGAAGATTGCTTGAAGGAACAGTCCGAAGTAAATGGATCTGAATCTTTGGCAGATTCCTTTCCAAATAGATCAATTTCCAAAAGGATCATCTTTAAAAGGATCACGGCCAACAGAGAAATCACACTGGAAAAAATACAGTTATGTATCTGCATCTGGTTCTCTCGGTGAACTTGATTCTTCAGTCCATGGATCTTCCTCTTCTGAGTGTCTGTCACTTAAATTCAGAACAAACTTTTCACTGGCAGCTGCAGTCACCATTATGTTTTCATGTGTCGACCAGAAGGCAGCATCTCAGGAAGACTTCCTGCCTAGACCCCAGGCTGCTCTGGCCTTCAGTGGGCTCGTCTAGGTTGGCTGTGTCTCTGCAGCCTGTAAGGAGGCAGAGTCAGTTCGTGGCACCATTGACAAGAACGCTGGGTGGCTCCCGCTCCAGCTCCACGGATCACTGAGAGTTGCCAGCTCTCTCATGTGCATCACTCTCATGGGCATCGACCTGATCTCTGCTGTGAACCGAGCAGGTGCTGCTGAGCAGGTCCAAGCTGCTCCTCCCACAACCGTGCTGGGCCCACAGAGATGACGGAAGGGGAGCCTCACACTCCTTAACTCCTGGACAAACCCAAGTCAGACTAGAAGGGATTGGATCTGTCACACACACACACACACACACACACACACACACACACGCACGGCATGTGACTCAGTGCTACCTGTGGGCTAAGACTGAGGTCAGAGATGGCAGTGTCCATCCCAACATGTGGGGGGGGGGGGAACCTGTTTCAACGTTCCCCTTGAGTCCTGATCCCCTCCCTGCTGTGATGACATCAGGATCTCTCTCCTGTCCACACAGAGTGGAAAACTCCACACGGATGACCCCGGTCTATACCCAGGCACCGGTGGCCACTCAACTCTGACCTCTCCTGTCTGTACCAGTTCCCTCTCCTTTTGGGGCAAATTCACTTCCTTGTTGTGCATTGAGCATGGCCCCATATTTCAGAAATACTGTACAGAGCCTTTCTCAGATGAGGAGCAGGTGAGGGTTCTTCAGTGGGTCTAGCATCGTCCATGTTTTGTGGATTTTCAACAATACCTCTCATGCCTCACCTCTCGCGCCTTAGGCAGGTGTGGAAATGAACAAGGAGGGCTCCCTCCATGTCCCGGGGCCGAGGACTCCACAACCACTCTCAGGCCCTGGGATCCTGACAACCTGCTGCAGGTGGGGACACGGAGACTCAGGAAACTGCGCGTTGATGCTTTAGGTCACACCAGATATGGGCCATGGAGGAGTCATTCCATAAGCATGTTTTATTCCCCAAATCAGAGCAATGACACTCGTACTGTCCACTAAACATGAAGACAAGGTCACAGGACAAGGAGAGGGGAACTTCCCAAGGGGCAAGGGTGCTGAGGGGCAGGAATGACTCACAGGCTTCTTCCCGCACTGATGGGATGGGTGCTGTGGTCAGAAAGGGAGCTCACCAGGGGCTGAGAGGAA